TATCTATCTATCTATCTATCTATCTATCTATCTATCTATCTATCTATCTATCCATCCATCCACCCACTCACCCATCCATCTATCCATCTCTATTTAATCTCTCTTCCTCTCTCATCTATATCTATCTATCTATCTATCTATCTATCTATCTATCTATCTAATCTAATCTAATCTAATCTAATCTAATCTAATCTATATATCCAGCCAGCCAGCCAGCTATCTAACCATCCATCTCTATCCCTATCACTATCACTGTCTATCTCATCCATCTCTATCCTTTGAGTCATTCTTGACTCCTTGGACAAATCTGGGTAGCTTTTTAAGCAATATTTTTGGAAGTGGCTTGTCCTTGCCTTTTTCCTAGAGCTGAGACAAAGTGGCCTGCCCAAGGTCAGCCAGCTGGTTCTGTCCTTAAAGCAAGTTTAGAAGTCAAATTGGTTCTCATTTAAAATATAATTTTATTTATTGATTTGTTGATCACTTACAAGATAATAGGTATAAGTATAAACATAGTTATGAATACATGAAATGGATACATATAAAAAAAATAAAGAAACAATAGGACAGGGGTGGTAGGCACATTGGTGCACTTATGCACACCCCTGACAGACCTCTTAGGAAATGGGTAGGGTCAATAGTAGATAGTCTAACGTTAAAGTTTTTGGGGTTTGGGGAAGAAACCACCGTCAGGTAGAGTATTCCAGACATTGACCACTCTGTTGCTGAAGTCGCATTTCTTGCAATCAAGTTTGGTGCGGTTAACCTTGAGTTTGTATTATTGTGTGCTCTTGTATTGTTATGGTTGAAGCTGAAATATTCATTGACAGGTAGGACATTGCAATGTATGATTTTATACACTATACTTAGATCAGACCGAAGGTGGCATAGTTCTAGGTTTTCTAGGTCCAGAATTTCAAGTCTGGTGGCATAAGGTATTCTACAACGAGGAGAGGAGTGGAGAACTCTTCTTGTGAAATATTTCTGGACTTTCTCAACTGTGTTAATATCAGATACATAATGTGGGTTCCAGACTGATGAGCTGTATTCGAGTATTGGTCTAGCAAATGTTTTGTATGCTCTAGTTAGTAGTGTAATATTACCAGAGAAAAAGCTATGTAAGATTCGGTTAACAACTCTTAATGCCTTTTTGGCTATGTAGTTACAGTGGGCTCCAGCACTTAGATCATTAGAGATGAGTACTCCAAGATCCTTGACAGAGTTTAGATCATCAACAAGGTCTTGACTATTCAGCTTGTATTTTATTTTCCTATTATTATTTTTTTTGCCAATATGTAAGTCAGAGCATTTGTCTTGGTGTAAATACTCTCAGTATACATAAAGAAAAGGTACATTCGTTAAGAATCAATAATCATAATGTACAACACTTAATGATAGTCATAGGGTACAATCAACAATCAAATCATACTAAGAAACAGTCAAGTGGGAGGGGATGGGTGATAAGGAATGGTGAGAAGATTTACAGTAATAGTAGTGTATACTTTGTAAATAGTCGAACAGTGTTGAGGCAATTATTTGTTTAGCAGAGTGATGGCTTTCGGGAAAAAACTGTTCTTGTGTCTAGTTGTTCTGGTGTGCAGTGCTCTATAGAGTCATTTTGAGGGAAGGAGTTGAAACAGTTTATGTCCGGGATGTGAGGGGTTTGTAAATATTTTCACAGCCCTCTTTTTGACTCGTGCAGTATACAGGTCCTCAATTGAAGGCAGGTGGGTAGTAATTGTTTTTTCTGCAGTCCTAATTATCCTCTGAAGCTTTACATCATCAGCGAAGAGAACGCAGTTGCTCTTGATATGATCACAGGGGTCATTTATGTAGAGTATGAAGAGAGTTGGTCCTAGAACACTGCCTTGGGCAACACCACTCTTGACAGGTACAGAATTTGATAGGACGCTCCCAATTTTGACCATTTGTTGTCTGTTTGACAGGAATGCTTCTATCCAGTTATGCATTACACATTCATATCAGTACATCAGTAAATCTACATCATAATCATATGCTTATTTTCAAAAGAAAACTAAGTTTTACTGTTTAAATAATACTTTAGCAATACAAGTATTTAAATATTTATATCCTTATTCATTTCTCCATTTCTTCAGCAAAGGGCTTAAACTACTTCCTCCTACTTGCTGATGTTTTTCTGGCAAGTTCCCTAACCTATGCCATATTAATTCAATAACAAATGGCTTGAGATCTACAAAATGATACGTACTTAGTTTATTTCTGTAAACATTCCTTGCAAATATACATCATCTTGAATCTTAAGACTGGATTATAATACACTAAACCATAGCATGTTAAATTTTGTATGAGCCATGAATTCTGGCTTGGCTGCAATAAGTCTATTTGTAATTTAGTCACCAAATCATGATTAACCCAACCACTATGTGCCTGCACTTTTGGGTTACATCTGGTTCTATGTGGGATGCTGTGATGCACACTACTAAAGTAATAGATTTTAAAGAGCAAAATAAGCTTCTACAATGCTTGCTTTTGCCCCTAACCAGCCACTGCCAACTTATTAGAAATGCTAGCACACACACACACACACACACACACACACAGGGAGAGAGAGGGGGAAGGAGAGAGAGAGAGAAACACTTTATTATTACCTTTATTGTCAGAGTACATGTGTACAATGAGATTGGCTGAGCCTCCCTTTGTGCACTTCCCCCTCACAAACACACACACACACACACACACATCTCATAGTGAGGACAGAAGTCCCTAACCCAGTCCCAATCTTATTATACTATGTGACCTTGTTGCACAATGTGCTGGCCCCACAAATCTATCATTCTATGTTGACATGAAGTTATTTTCCATTCAGAAGTCTGACAGCCCACGGGTAGAAACTGTTCTTCAGCCTGTTGGTCTGGCTGGCTATGCTTCTATATCTCCCACCCGATGGTAGGAAAGTGAAGAAGTGCTGACAGGGGTGTGAGTCGTCCCTGAGAATTTTCCTCACTCTTCTAAGGCAGCAAGCCCTAGCGATGTCATCTAGTGGTATCAGAGAGCATCCCACGATATTTTGTCTGTGCTCACCACTTCAAGGGCTTGGGAATGCAAATAAGACATTGGATGGCTATGATCTCAATGATTGCAAATTGACTTGTTCTTCGATGTGGATGTCCAAAACAAATGCTTCTCTTTTAGTTACATGAGAACAGAAGAGCTCTTCGGATTAGATCAGGAGTGACCAACCTTTTAGCTTGTGTGGGCCACGTTGAATGAAGAATTTTCTTCAGCCACATATAAAATATACAATATAGTTAGTGTGTGTGTGTGTGTGTGTGTACACACACGTTAGAAGTTTACAATTTTGTGGGGCAACGTTACTAGCTGTTTAGGGCCTCATGTGGTCCATAGACCAAGGATTAAACAAGCCTGGACTAGACCTATCTTAATACAGCATTTTGTTTCTCACCAAATGCCACGGGAGCAAAAGATGGAGACATATCCTCACCCACTCCTGTTCCCTTACAACTGGTGTTTGGAGGCAAGCTATCCCCATCACAAAGAGATAGGGGGAAAAAAAATCTCCCTGCTTATTTTCTCCAGGCCATCCATGATTTTATACATTCAGGAATGTGCTCACTTAGTTATCTTTTTCTAAGTCAAAGAGTATCAAACATTTACCCTTCTCTCATAGAGAAGACATTCAAAGCCCCTCATTTGGATTACCCTCTCCTTCATTTTAGCCAGTTCTTTATATCTATTTTTAAGTTTGGCAATCTGAACTGTGCACAGTATTCCAGATGTTTATATATATATATATATATCTCATGTATTGATTTAATAGTATTTCAATTTTGTTATAATAAGCTTTAACTGTGACATTAGCCTTTTTCTTCTCTACATATTGGCCCAATAACTGATTGTACAGATTGTACAGATTATGTTTGCCATTTGGTGGAACCAGGAATGGGATTCTACCAGCTCGCACCTATTCGCTAGAACCGGTTGTTAACTTTCTAAACAGTTCGGAGAACCGGTTGTTAGAAGAAATTACTGGCCTAATCCTGTAAGGAAGGCAGGAAGGAAACATTCTGGTGTTGCTTACAGAAACTGCCTCTCCATTAACCCTTATTTCATTCTTGGCAGGACTAGACTTCCTGTCTCAGGAACTTCTCTGGAGTTTTTTTTCCCCTCCTTTGCTGGTACTTTGCTTGTGTGGAGTGACCATTCAAAGTTACAATGGCACTGAAAAAAGTGACTTATGACCATTTTTCACACTTATAACTGTTGCAGTATCCCCACAGTCATGAGAGGCCAGGCGAGGAGATGCGTGCCTCGATGTAAGTGATATTGAGTTTGCCACTCCCAGCCAATAACAGGACCACCAAGCCACACCCACCAACTAAGCCATGCCCACAGAATTAGTTGTTTAAAAAAAATGAATCCCACCCCTGGGTGGAACACACACTTTGTTAAAAGAGGTATTTCGGGTATTTGTCTTCTGGGCAGAGCAAAAAGGAAACATGTTGGAGGGCATCTGGATTGTAAAAACACAAGCATATATATTTGGTCAAAAAAAAGTTGCTTCTGAATTTAAAGCCTTTTAAATCTCCCCATTCTTGAGAATGGCTTTTGTTAGTTCATCCTAGAAATTGAATTTATTCAGTTTTATTAAATTTGTGTTAACTAAAATGCTTTTTGTTTTAGCATTGGCTGCAGAAGATGCCTACGTAATTGGCCAGACATCCCTTGACATGATATACAAAAATCCAAGACTGGTCACTGAGTAGACCCTACCTCTTATCTTTACTAAATGTGCTTTTGGAAGTAGTGAGCAGAAAGAATGGTAATTCCCAAAGTTCCTAAAATTTGATCAGGCTCAGTTCCTTGGTTCCATTTGCTGTCTGTTACATTTATTTCTGGTTTTTAATAATACCTTCTTCAATACTGGGATGTGTAGGAGTGGTTGTGGGAATTCTTAAGTGTCTTGGAAGTTGAAAAGCAAAAATTATGAACACTTGATATAAAAGAAAACCTATGGATAGGGGAATGTGCAATGTTTTCTCTTGAGGATTCCTGACTGGGAGAAAAGGAGGGATGACAGGCTCAAGCAAGAATTGCAGGCCTACAGTTGCCTGAGGAGAAGGCTTGCCATGCTTAGAAAAACAGAGGAACCAAAGATGCACTTGTGTACAGATAATCCTTGATTAATGACCAGTTGCTAAGTGACCATTCAAGGTTCCAATGGACTTACCTGGTGGATACTTACTTACTTACTTATTTAGTCAAGCGCTTACAATATAATAGAAATAAGAATAAACATAAGCTTAAATACATGAAATAGGAACTAATAATTGGGGACAATAGGATAGAGATGGTAGGCATGATTGTGCGCTTATGCATGCCCCTTACAGACCTCTTAGGAATGGGGTGAAGTCAACAGAGGTTAATTTGAGGGTAAAGGAGTGGGGTTTGAGCATGTGACAACAGAATCAGGTAGTGAGTTCCAGACATAGATCACTCTGTTGCTGAAATCATACTTCCTGCAATCAAGTTTGGAGTGGTTTACATTTAGTTTATATTTGTTGTGTGCTCTTGTGTTGTTGTGGTTAAAGTTGAAATATTCATTAACTGGTAAGACATAGTAACATGATTTTATGTACTATGCTCAAGTCCAATCTTAGCCAGCATAGTTCAAAATTGTCTAAGCCTAGAATTTCAAGTCTGGTGGTATAGGGTATTCTGTTGCGAACAGAGGAGTGTAGTACTCTTCTTGTAAAATACTTCTGGACTCATTCAATTGTATTAATGTCTGACATACAGTGCAGATTCCAGACAACAGAGCTGTATTCAAGTATTGGTCTAGCAAAGGTTATGTATGCCCTAGTTTGCAAATCAGTATTACCAGGTCACAGCTCAAGTTTGTACCCCAAGTTCCTCAGCCTGAGTATTGGCAAACAATGTTACCTCTGTTCTATTCTTCAGCCCCTGCCTTTGTTCTGATATAAAACCCATGCATTTGCTTGGACCTTTCTGATTGATTCATTAAGTTGTCTCTGTACATACTGTAAGAAAAGATCCTTGATTCCCTACCTATATCTATGCTTCCTGGCTCTGAACCTGGCTTGTACTGCTTCTCATATGATAGTATATTAAAGCATTAGTTTGATAAAAGACGTACACTAAAAATTGTAATCTACAATTGTGTAAAACTAATAGTTGCAATTCAATCAGTTTTGGAGCTAATAACTGGAACATTACGGGAATACGGAAACAAAAAGTGCAGACAACAAGTTTTTCAAATAAGTGCCAAGTGACAGGATGGCATAGTGAATGAGGAAGTTACGCCAGTACTCTTCCAGAGGAGCAGAAGAGATGTGTAGAAAAGATTATATAAGAAGGGGTTTTGTTTCAGATCATGGCCACCGATGGTAGCCGCTCCTTGCTGGATTTATCTTTTATCGGTGGACCTCATTGCAATGGGTTGTTGATGTAAGTATTATCTTACTGAATCGTTGTTTGTACTTTGATGACTTTCATGTTCCAAATTGCTCATGAAATAAACTTAAACTGTTGATTCAAAGCAAAATGAGGTTGCATGCTTATATTTCCTGTGCCCCACTTGTCTTATTTTATGACAATACTATACATTACAGCAGTCATATTTGATTTGGCAAATTGCATTACTTCCTTTATTTTATTTATTGATTTTCTACAATCTTGCATATTGACTTGTCCCTATTATATTTTATTGCTATTTTATGATGTATACCATAAATGTGACAGAATAGCCTTTACTGTAAATATTTCTCCCTTCCTCTTTTATTTACCCTGCCATCTTAATGAGAGACCCTGGTGATTGTAAAAAAAATTATTAAATGGCATCTCTGCAGTTTAGGAACTAGCTAAGGAAATTACACTGTTGGGCCTCATGTTAATGAAATGGCTCTAAATTCATTTTACATAATTGATTGAAAAAATAAAGGAAAAAGTCATTAATGTGTATGGTTTTATTTGCTGTTTATTTATTTAACACATACATTAGTTACATTAACGTGTTCTATGTCTGTGCTTGATGTATGCTACTAATCAGGCACTGGGCTTTTCCTGTTAGTTACTGCATGATTCCATATATAAAATGTTTGAAGCTTTGTGTACTGAATCAAACTATTGGAAAACAAAGAAGAAAATGTCATATAGCCAAAAAAGCTAATGCAATCCTAAGTTGCATTAAGAGAGAGATACAATCAAGATCAAGTGAGGTACTAATACCACTCTTTAAAGCCTTAGTAAGACCACACCTAGAATACCGCATCCAGTTTTGGTCACAACACTATAAAAAAGAAGTTGAGACTCTAGTAAAAGTGCAGAGAAGAGCAACCAGGATGATTAGGGGACTGGAGACTAAAACATATGTAGAACAGTTATAGGAACTGGGCATGGCTAGTCTAGTGAAGAGAAGAACCAGGGGAAATATGATAGCAGTGTTCCAATATTTGAGGGGCTGCCACAGAAAGGAGCTATTTTCTAAAGCACCCAAAGGCCAGACAAGGAATAATGGATGGAAACTGAACAAGGAGAGATTTAACCTGGAAATAAGGAGAAACTTTCTGACAGTGAGAACAATCAACCAATGGAACAGCTTGCCCTCGGAAGTTGTGGGAGTGCCATCACTTGAGACTTTCAAGAAGAGATTGGACTCCCATCTGTCAGAAATGGTATAGGGTCTCCTGCTTGGGCAGGGGGTTGGACTAGATGACCTACAAGGTCCCTTCCAACTCTGATTATCTGTTATCTGGACGTCAATTCCCAGAATTCCTCAGCCAGTTCTGGCTGAGGAATTCTGGGAGTTGAAGTCCACAAGTCTTAAAGTTGCCAAATATGGAGACCCCTGTGGTAGATAATTCTATGAGATGAATCCAATTCAATTGTTTTATTCTTCTTGTTTAGAAAAATAGAAAACTGGCTCTGGCTTTCAGAGTTTCTTTACAAAAAGACGTGATACACCATACTTCAAGCAATAGGTTAACTCTTCCCAAAGAATCATCTTACAGCCTTTGACGGTAATGTTTTATAAGGGTTTAAAATTCCTTTAGGATCTAACATAACCTTGAACTGCTGCATGAGAAGAACTGCTTCTTTTGGCTTACTGTAGTGGATGTAATGCTTCTTCTTGAAACCCAGGCCATGCTCTGCACTGATGCTTCCATAATATTGTGAAACCCACTCATACACATATGGCTCAATAGCATCCAGCAGAGAATGACTATATGACTCTGCTGTTACATTCAGGTGCAAGTTTCCATCTCCTGTCAAAGCGAATCAGAAATAAGAATTGATTTCAAAAGAGAAAACAGACAATACAAGTATTCTCTGACTGTGATATGCATTAGTACTGAGAATTGGTTTCAAAAGAGAAAGTAGACAATACTAATTCCTTAACTGTGATATGCAATAATATTTTTTGTTAAAAGGCAACAATTTCCATACTCCTTTGCAGTTAACTGGAGATGGTGAAAATGGTAAGCCAACAACACTTTGTAATATTTTAGTGTTCTTCTCTGGAGTGCTGAAATCTTGAGGGTACTAAACTGAAAAAGTCTATTTTAAACGCGGGATCATACCAGTCTTCCATAGTTCATGGCTTTATTTTTGAACAAAAAAGAACTAAAAGATATAACTATTGTTCTGTCCTCACTACACGTTAGTCTGTGTGCAGCTCGACATGCAGCTAAAGCCACCTAACCTCCAATAAAGCAGACCATGTGCGTAGATCTGAATGCTTTATTAAAAGAACAGGATATGGTGAAACTGGGGAAAGTAGGAATACATACAATGAGAACCAAATGCAAAATTGACAGTATTGAGTTACTGCTGAACGTAAAAATTAATAAATACAAGCAATCTAAATCTCACCAGTGATGCTGTGTGTGTGGGATATGGGTTTATCCTTGCATGACTATGTGCTACAGATTAAGATGGGTTCTTCTTTGTGCTTCTGCCTTCTCCAAATGCTAAAGAAAATGGAGTCTGGCTTTCCAGCGTGCACTTGTTTTGAGAGTGCAGACTGATGGGTGAAGGAGAGCTTCAAACAATACAATTGATATTTGTCTCTCCAGCCACTAGATAGAGCTAGAGAGCAACAATAGTATATAAAAGTTATATGCTGGGGCATGACAACTATCATATTCTTGAAAGACAGAAAAAAATACAGATGGACACTAGTTTCTTGGCAGCAAAGAATAACTGTGTTTTAATCTTTGTGCATAACATCTCATGTCCATATTTATAATAAAACCTGGCCTTCTGTCCCTTTCAAAAGCTACTAGAACAACTTTGCCAACCTGTGCCTTCCATAAGGTTAGTTCATGGGCTTAGGAAATAATGCCCTATGTTCATGCTTCGTAGTCTCTTTCTGAAATTTCCTGCCCAAAGAACTCATATGATTTCAGCATTTCCAGAAAAGATCATCCAAATATTACAATCCAGCAATGGATTATTTCATTTTTAAAGCATAATTTATTCTGGGCCAAGAACACTTTCTCCCCTAATATGGATGCTTTTGGTAATTCTGTCAGGTCAGCAAATATTACATCTTTGCTGCAGATGCCTGAACCATGCACAAATACACCAACTCAACTGAGACCAAAAGATAATGGCTTAACATTATCTAGTAATTGAAAGCTGAAATGAGATTTAAATCCAGAACTGAAACACAATCAGATAATTTGTACAATGATTCAAAATCCAAATCATTCATAATTCAGGAAGTTTTTATCAAGATAGTGGAACTCACCTAGATGTCCATAGCCAACCACATTCTTAGCAGCTGTATCCAGCCGTACTTTCATGTCAGTCACAAGATCATAGAGTTTTTCCACAGGGAGTGAAATGTCATATTTATAAACAACTCCATCACATGTCAGGGCTTCTGTGATACGTTCCCGTAAAGCCCATAATGCCTGTAGTTGACCAAATATATTGTTTGCGGGAAACAATACCACCTTGGCATTCTTAAAGAATATATGATTGGCAAAAGTTATGGGTTTAACTACGCTCATTTTTGAATGTTGTATTATTTTTATTGGTTTGTTCTGCTGTATCCTGTTTTAGATTTTTTTTTTTAATGAAAATAAGAGGCACATTTTGGATTAAGAGCATTGTCTGCACACTATTCCAATATGGCAGACATGCCTTCTATAGAGAAAGGCAATTACTTATTTGCAAAATATGGGCCATTCTATATGAGGCCTGGCCCCAAAACCTTCATTTATTAATTCGATGAAATAGCTCTCATCTCCTTAAGAACCAAAATGCATTCTGCCAACTCAAGTTATCTTTATCTTTTTTCTAGTTCTGGGCATATTTCCCAACAAAGCATTATGCCGTAGGCTTTCAAACCATTTTTTAAATTGTCTAACATATGTATATGGGACTAACAAGGGGTTTAGACATTAGATGAGAAGCAAGGATAGGACAACTTTTTAAACCTAGAAACTGCATTATGATCTTCTGTCTTGCCTGAGGGTTTAGGGGATGCCGGTAATGATATTGAATCTTTAAAATGCAAAACATGTAAATTTTAGACTCACTCATTCTGTGGGGTTCTGAGGATTGTAGATGGGTACTGGTGTTCACACAAGACCCACATATTGAGGGTAAGTTCTGCAGCAGAGTAGTTACATTCCCCAGTCCCATAAGATGAGTCTCATAGATGACTCTCATAGACCCAAATGTCTATGGAGATTCTCAGTCATCCAGGTCATGGTTGTCTCAAAGGTGTTTTTTCAAAAGACAACTGGACTTTCTGTTTTTTCTTTGAAGACATTTTGTTTCTCATCCAAGAGCTTCTTCAGAGCTAAAGAATCTTCTTGGATGAGAAGCGAAATATCCTCGAAGCAAAACCAGAAAGTCCAGTTGTCTCTTTAAAAAGCACCTTTGGGATGGGACCCAAAATGCAACTACTCTGCCTGATTTTACTGGACCATCAGAAATATTTGTGAATAACATTCCCTCAAATAATCTAGACCAAGGATGTCAAACACAAGGCCTGAGGGCTGGATCCCACAGGGCTGTACTGGAAAATGCAAGAGGCCGGCCAGTCTCTCTTTGGCCCGGTCTATCCAATGCAAAAAGGAATGGCTTCAGCCTGGTCTACCCAGTGCGCAGAGGAAACATGCCAGCAGTTTGGGGACTGGTGTCAATCTGGCCATGCCCACCCAATCAGCCATGCCGTGCCTGGTGTCAAGCTGACCACACCCACCCAGTTGGCCACACCCACCCAATCAACCACGCCACCCGGTCCCCCGAGGTCAACTACAACCCTGATGTGAAATTGTGTTTGACACCCCTGATCTAGACATTTCTCTAAGACTCTTACACCAATGAAGCTACAGTGTATTGTTTGAATTTAGCATTCAGTGATCACTTATCAAAACTACATGGCCAAGAGTTGCAAATTCAACTCAAGTATGTTTCAAATTTATATCATGTTTGAATCCAAACCAAACATGCTGGTAAGAAAGAAAAAAAATACCTTTATCTTTTTTCCTTCTGAGGCCAGAGTTCCATCTACTACCAAATCTGAGTCCATTACATGTTCCAGGAAATGGCTGAGTTTTTCCTCATCATGAATAGAATTGGAGCCTGAAGTCTCAATTAACACATAAAAGGGACTTTCTAGGTTTACAAAAAGCAGAAATAAAGAGTCATACAATTTCAAACATATACATCTACTGAAACTATGAGATTTTACTTGTAAAAATTAAATCAAATTTCCTAGGATTATGAAAATTGAATAATATAGAGTTGGGACACACATACATAAAGTCCTGCTGTAGTGATGGGATGTTCCTGGGAGGGATGAGCAAAGAATGTCAGGAGTGTATGCCAAGAGTACATATTCTCAGCAGGGACACCTGAAGTGTGAAAGTTATTTCAGCTGCCCAACTAAAGTCAAAGAGTACAGTGAAAAATAGGACTAAAATTAAATAAAGACCAAATTAATAGCAATAGATACAACAATCAGCCTTAGAATTAACAATAAAGATGCTGAAGTATGGTTAGCTTCTTCCTTTTAGGATCAACCACCACCATAAAGGAACAAGCAGTCGAGAAATACACCCCATTCAAGCACTTGCTAGAGCAGCCATGAAGACTTTGGAAAAGATATTTAAATACCATGATGCTGGCTAGGGAATTCTGGGAATTGAAGTCCATATATCTTAACCCACCATTCAAAACCAGCCATCAGATTATTTAAGCAAAAATAAATTTGCATACATATAACTAGTAATGAGAATCCACTTGTAGAGCAGCTGGTACCTGCTACTGGGTTGGTCAGTTTCAGATGTCTCTCTACCAACTTCATGCATCCATTGTCCATGAACTCATAAGCAGAAAGAATTTCTCCCAGCATATCCTTGCAGATTATGAAGGTTTTCAGGACTTGAGAGAAACTTGGGCAAGCTTTATGGTAAAAGCAAAAATCACAGAAAATAAGTAAGGCGGCATACAAACAAAATTAAAAAATGGTAGGGAAAAAGCACTGGAACTTTTCATATCTATTCTTTTTCTTTAAATATGTAATTGCTATCTTCATTCATTTTACTTTCACGCCAAGATGAATAAAAGAGAACGAAAGTCATTTCTACAAAACTAAAATAGATAATAGAAATTTAATTGTTCTCATTTAGAGTTTGCATGAAAGGCAGAAATTAGTCCATTCTCCTAGCTTTCACAAATGAAGGTGAATATGTTTCCCAGGATAAGGTTGCAGGATCTAATCTGAGTCGGTCACCAAAGGTTTTGTCTTCTGAGCTTTCAGACTTCTGCTGGAGCCCATCCTCAAGAAAGAGAATGGGCTCTAGGCACGAGTTTGAAAGCTCAGAAGACAAAATCTCTGGTCCCAGTGACTGACCAGATTGGATGCCCCAGCTTTGCTTGACAGTTCCTCTGTCCTCCAGCAAATATCACCAACTGAAGGGAAAACACCCACTATCCATCTTAATATGATGAAACAGGGCTGGTGGAGAAGTTGAATTCTGACATTTGCTTTGTTTAGGTCCAAGTGTTTTGTAAGGGTGTTCAAAGGGAACATGACACTTTGCCAAGATGTGTACTATCCCAAGAAAGTACTAAGTCATATTCAAAAGCATCCCAGACAACTGTGGGAAAGGCACACTATGAAACAGCACAGCAAGATTTTCTCTCTTCCCAACATCATCATGCAATGCCCACATCCTGTGATTTATCAGTAGCTATTTAAGCTGATTCAAATTTTGCAACCAGGAATAGCTTGGAGATTTGGTACGTATTGGGCAAGAGCCTGGTATTAAAGACCCAGACTTACCTATTGCCCAAATCAGAATGGACCCAGAAGGCAGTAGCCAGGCCTCACAGGGCACCAGAACTAATAGGACCAATAGATCCCAGGTTGAATCCATCCCTTAGAAGCCACTCGAGTTTCATTCTACACGAGAGTTGTGATTTGCCACTGACAACAGTTTTAAAGTGATGTCTATAAATTAGACAAGATTCATGATAATTCTATTTCATATTCAGTTATTATTTCAGGATGCCTTCATTTCTCACATCTGCATGTGGCTTCCGTGCCAATAGTAAAAAGCAGTTTGCTGGTGGCATAAATTATTTTCCCTGTTCTCATCCCTGTTTTCATCACTAACACTGTTAATCACATCAAATGGTTACAAAACCTGAACATAAGAAAGTAGCCTTGATAAACTAACTGCTGCCGCAGATGCATTCTTCCTGTGCAAGACTTGGAAGTACAAAAAGTGCACTAAAAACAAGAGACAGGAATGACTCGCACCAAGAAATGCCAGATTCACAGCATTTGGTTTCCGTGGACAGAGGATGGATACAGCAGTGACCATCCCCAAAGTCCCCTCTGAGCCAATGAAAAGCTGCTTCAAGTCATAGCCAGTATTATCTTTCCGCAGAGATGCCAAACAGTTCAGGATGGAGCCATCAGCCAGCACCTGAAAGAGGACAAACTTTGGTTTATCATTAATGAATAATACAGTTATTTTAAATCTTGTTTATAATGGTTACACAGGCCAAACAAGAGAAACAGTATTTTCTAAGTTGCATTTTTGTAGAAGAAAGGAATATAGTAGCACCTCTGAAATAAAATAAAGGGAGTGGTAGAGAATAATTACTTTAAACAATTAAAAAAATCAGAAAGGGCTTTTTTGAATTTCAACTTACCACTTCTAATCCAAGAACTGTCCCTCGAAGAGATCCATACCTTAGGAGGCGCAAGCCGCCTGCGTTTGTAGCTACATTTCCTCCAATATGGCAACTGCCTTTGGCTCCAAGGTCAAGAGGCATGACAAAGCCCTTTGGCTCCAAATACTGGTTGAGGTTCTCTAAAATGCAGCCCGCCTGGCAAACCAGGATTCCTGAGGCATAAGTATCAAGTCACAGTAATGTCAGATAAATATAATTCTCTTTCTTTTCTTTTCTTTTTTTAGAAAAAACTTTATTAATTTTACCATTAAAAACAACACATCTACAAATTATATACAAAAAAAAAAAAAGCAAACAGGCCTTGGCAGAGGCCAAGAGGGAAAGAGAGGAAGGCAAGTGGGGGAAAAGAGGGAAAGGTAAGGTAAGGGTCGGGTAGAATAGGGAAAACAGTTAAAATAAAACCATATTTTTTGTGACTGTCTGTAAGATCCTTTCTTCTTCAAGAATATCGTCAGCGGTACTTTTCATTATCTCTACTTAGGTAGCCCTTGGCTACAATTTTTCTTGAAGTGGTCTATCTTTGATTTAGCCAATTATACCAAGGATTTCAATTGTTATAATAGATTGAGGATTCTTTATTTTTTAATGATTGGGTTAGTTTGTCCATTTCGATGCATTCTAAAATTTTCTGGATGATCATTTGTTCAGTGGGGATAGAAGGTAATTTCCAGCACTGAGCGAATGCCAGTCTGGCCGTGGTTAGGATATGAATTATAATATACTTCAATTTTTTGAATACTTGTTTATCAAAAATTCCTAGAAGGAAGGACTCTGGTTTGTACTCAATTTGTTCCTTAGTTATCTCCTCTAGCCAATGCCTAATTTTCTGTCAATATTTCTGAGTTTCCTTGCATGACCACCACATATGGAAGAAGGTACATTCTATGTTTTGACATTTCCAACATTTGGGACTCGTGTTGGGGTGCATTTTCGCCAATCTCGAAGGGGACAAGTGCCATCTATAAAACATTTTGTATGAGTTTTCTTTATAAGCTGCTGATTTTGTGATCTTAATGTTCTTATTCCAGATCCTTTTCCATTCTACTAGGGTGATACTCTGTCCCACGTTTCTGCTCCACGCAATCATATTTCCTTTGACAATCTCTTGTTCTAGTTCCGTTTCCAATAAGTGTTTGTAGAATTTAGATTTTTTTTTAATTCGGTCCTAATAGAATTTTGTCTAAAGTCTGCAATTTATTGTAGATTCCGAATTCCTTAATGTCTTGTTTATATCTACTATGAATTTGAAGGTACACCCACTGATCGATTGTAAATCCTCACTCTTGTAATTCTTGTCGTGTTTTCAGTTTTCCTTGTGGGTCTAATAAATTTTCATATTTAATCATTTTAGTTATATCCAAATTATTAGGGTGTACTATTGCTTCCATTGGCGATAGCCAAATCAGTATTTTTAGATAGAGTTTTTTACGTACTTTTTTCCAATTGGTTAGTAGAGAATCCCTGATAAGGTGCCTATGGAAATATGATTGCCTGGGTTTCCCAGTTTCCCACAGGAAGGCGTGCCATCCTTTTTGCATATCGTGGCCTTCTAATATTAGTGTTCTTTTGTTGATTAGATTCACCCATTCCTTTATCCATAGTAAAATGGCTGCCGTATGATATATTTCCCAGTTTGGCAGGGCTAACCCTCCTCTGCTTTTCAAATCTTGTAAGGCTTTTACACTGATCCTAGCCTTTTCCCCCTGCCAAATAAATTTTAGCGTTGTCTTATTTAATTCTATAAAAAAAAAATTATTTAATTTGATTGGAATTGTCTGGAATAAATATAGAAATTTTGGAAGTATATTCATCTTAATCAAAGCAATCTTGCCCAGTAAAGAAAGCTGTAATTTACTCCAGGAATCAAAATCTTTCTTCGATTGTTGGAGTAGTTTGTCATAATTGTTTTCTTTTAATGATTTACTTTGTAGTTACGATGTTTTCGAATCTAGTGCCAAGGTTCATATTGTATATTTTTTGTATTAAGAAATGCCAATTTAAATTATCGAATGCTTTTTCAGCATCCAGAAACATAAATGCAAATTGTTTTTCTGGATGGGCTTCATAGAATTCTGAAATGTCTATCACTGTTCTTAAATTATTCTTAATTTGTCGAAATGGGAGAAATCCATTTTGGTCTTCATGGATATGTGTGTTTAAAACCTGTTTTAATCTATTAGCTATAATAGAAGAGAATAGTTTGTAATCTGCATTCAGGAGTGAAATCGGTCTGTAATTATTAGTAAATCTATGGTCTAGATCCTCCTTCGGGATCAGCGAAATTAAGGCTCCCCTCCACGAGTCCGGCATCCTAGCTGCTAAGAGTACCTCATTAAATATTTCCAACATCAGTGGTCCAATTTGTTCTATGATTGTTTTATAAAGTTCTACTGGTATCCCATCTGGTCCTGGCGATTTATTGTTACTTTGCTTCTCTATTGGCTGACTTCAATTCGGACCATGTAATATTTTTGTTTAATAGTTCTATCTCTTCCTCTCCAATTGCTTTATCATTCACTTCCTCTAGGTATTTCCTTATTTTGTCCTCAGTGGCTTCTTCCTTTTTATATAATTTCCCGAAGTATTTATGGGTGATCTCTTTTTTCTTCTCTATCTCATCTTGCAAATTGCCCCTCTCATCCATTAATTGGTGTATCAGTCTTTTTTCTTTCATTTTTTTGAGTTTGTGGGCTAACCATCTCCCTGGCTTGTTTGCATGCTCAAAGTAGATTTGTTTGGTCATTTTCAGGCTTATCTCCAATTTTTCTTGTTCCAGTAAATTCAGTTTGTGTTTAGTCGTTATTAACTGGTTTTGTATTCTTTGGTTTTTGGGGTTCTTTTGTAGTTGGGTTTCTAAATCTTTAATTTCTTGTTGTAGGTTACTTTGTTGGGCATACTTTCTTTTATTTCTCATAGCATTGTAAGAAATTGTTGTTCCTCTTATAATTGCCTTCACTGTGTCCCATATATTTTGTTTCGAAGTTAATTCATTATTGTTTTCCTTTAAAAAAAAAAAGAGTTCTTCTTTCAATTTGTTAGTGTATTCTTCTCCTTTTATTAAGTGGGTGTTAAGTGTCCATCTTTTCTTTGGTTTTCTTCTACCTCTCCAAGTTATTTGAATTGGGTTGTGGTCAGCCCAGTCATTTGGTAAGATTTTGCTATCTTTGATTTCATTAATTAATTCACCGTTTATCCAAGCCGTATCTATTCTTGTCCACATTTTATGTGGGTTAGAATAATAAGTAAACTGTTCTTTTTTGGGGTTTAATTTTCTCCAGATATCTACCAAATTCAGTTCATTCATCATATCCTTACATGGCTTTGAAAATTCTCTTTTTCCTTTTTTATTCTTACTCATGTTACTATGATCTTTCCGATAGTCAGCAATAGAGTTAAAATCGCCAATCAAACAAATATTGCCTTTTTCGAAGCCTATTATTTTTTGGTGGAGATGTTTGAAAAATTTACCTTATCGTTTGGGGCATAGATTACTACCAGTAAAAGTGTAATACAATTAATCGAAGTTTGTACCACCAGAGTTCTTCCTTCAGGGTCCACCCAAATTAACTCCGCTTTTAAGTCATCTCTCACATATATTGCAATACCTTTCTTTTTGTGCTTATCTGCGGGTGCTGTGAATAATTTTCCCAGTTTCAGACAATCTAAAAATTTCTGCTCATTTTTCCTAATGTGTGTTTCTTGTATGCAAACTATATCAACATTTTGTTTTATTAGTTTAGTTAGAATCCTTTTCCTTTTAGGTCTTGAATTTAAACTGTTTATATTAATGGAAAGAATTTTCCTTCCTTCCTCCATTTACCTAAGTTTGCTTCGCTTTTTGTCTTGTAACTATACGGCTCTCTTCTTGTGGTTGATATAGGGTTGTTTCTTCTCTTTCCTGTTGTGAGTTGTCTTTCCCTTGGATTTGAACGGGTCTTTCTTCTTTGTTCCTATGGCGGTTACGGTCTTTCTGCATGTTCCTTTGGGTTTCCTCCCTGGCGTGTTGATCCTCCGTAGTTGTTAGCTGTTCTAGGAAGTCTTGTGCTTGTTCTATTGAATCTATTTTAATTTTTCTTCCCTTCCACGATATTAACATCCCTTCTGGGATTAGCCATTTGAATGAAATCTCTTTATTTAAGTAATTGGCTAAAAATTCATATTCTTGCCTTGTGGCCCTCACTTTTCTTGGAATTTGCTTAAGAACTATGATCTCTTTGCCCTTATATAATATTCTCTCATCTCTGGCCATTCTAAGTATTAGGTCTCTCACGCATCTTCTTGAAAAATGGATATGGATCTCCCTTGGGCAATTGTGACGCCTTGCGTAATTAGTATTCACCCTATAGACTTCGTCGAATTCTTTGAGTAAGTCATCTTTCTCTTTTTCTACTAGTTCAGACAGCAAACCTGCCATTAATTGCTCTAGTTCTTCATTTTTGGATTCTTCCACGTTCTGGAACCTTAGGTATGCCGCTGCTCATCTCTAGTTGGACCAAGGAATCTTCCATTTCTCTGTTTACATTTTTAAGGTCTTCCTCAGTCCTTTCTAGGTTCTTCTCTGCTTGTTCTGTCCTTTTCTCTATTTCTTTTATTTTTATTTCAGTTTTTTCCATGGCCAATTGCATTGTCCTAACCTTATCTTCAACTTTCTGCATGTCTGCTCTCATCTCCGCTTTTAATTTACCCATTTCCTTCAGTTCGCTAATATCGGCTCTAGTCTCATTGTGGTTCTTGATCATAACCTCCTGCATTCTGGACATTGATTCTTGCAGGGATAGTAATGTCGCTTGTAGATTAGCATTGGTAACGGTCGGTTGTTTTTCTCCTGTCAGGGTCTCTTCTATGGTTTTCTGCGTTGTTGGGGAGGTTGATGCCAAAGTTGTCATCAAGGTCTGGGTGTTCTTCCTTCCCGTTTTCAGGGCTGTGGTTGTTGTGGAAGTCATCTCTAGTAAGATTTGTTTTTGCAATTGGACTATGTTAAGTATATTATCCCAAATCACCATTCGGTGTTATAGCGCCTTGAGTGTGATTACAGGTCTGTTTACTAAAATCATACCACCAAGTTATTTTAGATCTCTTTCCTCGGCCCAATTTGTCATTTGGGCGGTTTGAATTCCAATACTATAAAATGTTATCAAATACTATGTATTATTCTCTATAATAAGTTTATATACCGGAGTTAATTATATTTTACAACTAATAAATCAATACCAGATCAAATCAAACTTGTTTAAAGCTTACAAACAACTCTAAGATTTCTCACTCTCTCTATACTTTTATCCTATATTGTGTATTGATATTGAGAGTTCCAGTTAATCTAAGTCAACCATATTTAACAGTCCTTAAAATTATTGTATATTCAAGACACTCTAGTCAATTAATACTTATATCTATGAAAAGCAATTTGCCTTTATACCTAAATTTATAATTATTGTAAAGAGAAAGGAAAGACTAAAAGAGAAAAGGAGAAAGAGAGGATGCAGAAGGAAAAGGGTATTTTAGATTTCGGGGGATCACTAGACACGTATCTGTGGGATTAGTACCAAAGGAAGACAAGTCTGAGTTGGGGCTGGCGTTTTTGCCTTATAGTCTTTCTTCCTGGGCGTACCAGAGGAGCAGAGGGAGGAAGTGCTGACTAATTGCTGTCAGCAATCAGCGATCAGACTTCGCCAGGCTTCCATCTCTCTCTTTCCTTCTTCTTTCCTTCTTCTTTCCTTCTGCCAGCAACTGTCAGTCCACTGTCACTTAGAATGTCCGCCTCAGATCAGTCACGTTAGAAATCAGTTTTGTAGGTTATGTTGCTAAAAGGCAGAAGACCTTTCACATAAAAGTCAGCGCGTCGCTATCTCACTCTCTACGCCCCACTCTTCCCTCCTTCGCAGCTATAATCCTCTTCTAGTCTTCTCAGGAACTGGTCCCAGATGGCAACCCACTCACAGGTCTCTTGGATTCCCCACAGCCTTCTTCTCTCTCCAACGATCTTCTTCCAAATGCTCCAATCCACACTTTCACTTTAAGTATCGAGCCTTTCCGTCCGCATTTGTCCCCCTTTCACTTTTCAGACCGCTTTTCTAGCCGCTTATCTCCAGCTTCCAAAAACTGTTACTCACATTGAAACAGGGAGAATCAGACTCCAATCTCTCTCACGACTTTTGTAGTCCTTCCGCCCTTAGCTGCTCGGATCTTTCAGGCTGTCACTTTTCGCTTCATCAGTTCAGTGACAGACCGGACTTTGGAGCCGCCATTTGCTGGCGGCTGGCTCGTTCGCGCTGGTCTCAGAGGATCTACCTTCGTTGCTGGGGAGTTGCCTTCCCCCAAACAGCAACCTGGGGGTCCTCTATGCTGACACGAAGCTCTACGGGTTTCGTGTATCCACTAAGGATCGCTCCAAATGCGAGAAGAGGTGCTCGAAAACCACAGCTGGGCTTCTCCACCTCTGGACGTCCCTGTCCTGCCACCGGAAGTCGAAAAAGGAAATATAATTCTCTTTCTAATGGAACAGCTTTTTCCAAATTCAGGCATAAAGCAAACAGGTTGGATTTGTGGGATACAATTAACAATCAAAGATCTAGCAGCTGCATCTTCACGCCTGGCTAAGTTCAATTAATTTTAACAGTGGTTTTCATTTAGCATGCTGCCTAACCTAATCTCTGGTGAATTTATGGCTCAATATATTGTGCAAAACAAAAAAAGGAATTAAATTTCAAGTTGTGGTATGAATTCAGTTGGATAACCATGAGTAGGTCACTATCTCTTCAACTAACCATCCTTGCAGTAGTCAGGTGACTATTACATATAAGAACCTTTCTTAGACCGCAGACTTCCCACCAAGCCTTGACAAGAACTTACCAGAAATATGGTCGAAACTGATGATCTGGTTCATAAGTCCTGTAGAAAGAATGATCTCATCAAAGACAGGAACACTGCCACCAACAAGGCCGGTATTGCCTCCCTGAGGATTCACAGCCAAGTTTTTCTCATTGCAATACCTGAAAAGGAACACATTTTTGACCGTTCTGGAAGTTAAAAATGCTGCATCCAGGACACAATTACTTTAGGTCTCCCCAGATCAAGTGAGAGTAAACTTTCTGGCTTCTAGTCACAAAGTCAGTATGACTCCTATATTAACACATGGGGATGGCTAGCAGTGGGAGTTCATCCAAAATCCAGGAAATGATTGTCAACATTTAGCTAATCCTCACCTAACAACCATTTGTTTAGAGACCATTCAAAGCCATAACAGCACTGAAAAAAGTAATTTACCACCACTTCTTGTACTTATGACCATCAAGGCACCCCCACAGTCATGTCATCAAAATTCAGGTGTTTGGCAACCAGCATGTATTTACAATGGTTGCAATGTATTGGGGTCATGGGATTACTATTTGGGATCTTCCCTGCCAGCTTTTGAGAAGCAGATTAATGGAGGAAGCTAGATTTGCTTAATAACCATGTGATTCAGTTAACAATTAGTGATTCACTTAATAATATCAAACAGGTTGTAAAATCAAGTGTGGCTTATCTAACAACCATCCTGCTTACCAACAAAAATCCTGGCTTCAGTTGTATCATATGTTGAGGACTACCTGGATTGTCAGCATTCAGTATACACTAAATCAGGGATCTCCAACCTCGGCAACATTAAGGCTTGTGGACTTCAACTCAGCAAAGCTGGCTGAGGAATTCTGGGAGTTGAAGTCCACAAGCCTTAATGTTGCCAAGGTTGGAGACCCATGCACTAAATGACTGTCAGCATTTGGTACCTATTTAGTTGATACTGCTTCTTCAAATGGTTATATGCTTGCATTAATGGATGTATAAATATGTCCTAAGAGAATTTGCATGTTTTCTAGGAAAGTTGACATGCAAAACTCCCTGTGATTATATATACTTCTATACACTATAGATGTATAGATGCTTCCTGACTGAAGGCTGATATTGCTTCCAGTCACAAGATACCAGCTATTCCATCATTTTTCCATTTTTGGTGGAAAAGCTACAGTAGTAAGAAAAAGACAGAAGTGTTGGGAAAATTTGGAAAGATTATAGTCAACAATATTTAAATCTTCTATAAATATCATTTGTCTGTGGGAGGGGATTAAACAAATGCATTCTGAGTCTGGAAGTAACTTAGGATAGAAAAATCCATCTATCTAGAAGCACAATTTTGGCAGCACTTTTTAATCTGTTTTAAGGTTAATGTCTTCTTAAAAGCACAAAGCTGATATGGAGTATACTCTGAGGATACCTTAGTGTTGTCTTAGTTTCTCTTATTAGACAAAGATTGAGTCAACTGAAAAGTATAGAGAATTGTTCTGTGTTCCCACATAAAAATTACTTGTTCATCATTTAAGAGACTATGAGAAGACCCAAGAGATAAAAATTACTGTAATGTTTTATTCTCTGCATGTAGTAATTACAAGCTTTTTTCTATCCTCTTAAACATCATTTATCATACAAGATCATGCTTATATTTTTTCCCTACTTAATGCACCTTAAACCTTAATACTAACTGCTCTTTACTTGCTTCAGGCTTAACACTGATAGTCCAGTTACAAAAGGGGATGAGGGAGGGAGAGGCAAGGAGGGGAGAGAAGAGAGAGATGGAAAGAAGACTCTTCTTCAAAAACTACAATCCTAACTCCTGAAGCATTCAGACTTTAGAAATGTAACAGGACATGGCCCATTTTGTTTCATTCTGTACTCTGTTCTTCACATATCTATGGACAATATAGAAGTAAGGCACATTCTTTTGAATAACAAAATTTCTAACACACTGTGCACTATATTCAAAGCAACATGGTTACTTGAGAATCTGAGATACTTCCATTGTTGTCCGTGGCTTTAGCAGTAGTGTACTGCAGCCTGCAATGGAAATGAGAGAATTCTATTACAAGCACGTAAAGGTAAAAGATAAAGGTTCCCCTCGCACATATGTGCTAGTCGTTTCCGGTTCTAGGGGGCGGGGCTCATCTCTGTTACAAAGCTAAAGCGTCAGCGCTGTCCGAAGACATCTCCGTGGTTATGTGGCCATGACTAAAAGCCGAAGGTGCACAGAACGCTGTTACCTTCCCACCAAAGTGGTCTCTATTTTTCTACTTGCATTTTTACATGCTTCCGAACTGCTAGGTTGGCAGAAGCTGAGACAAGTAACGGGAGCTCACTCTGTTACACGGTGCTAGGGATTCGAACCTCTGAACTGCCGCCCTTTCTGTTTGACGAGCTCAGCATCTTAGCCACTGAGCCATCTCAACAAGCATGACCGGAGTCCAATTACTCAACCCTTCATGCATCGGGATTAGATGAGGGAGCGGATTAACCCACCCCACCCATCACTTATTTCTTAGCTGCAAAAAAAATAATAAAACCCACCCCAGAATAAAGATAGCTACACAATGCAACTTAGTTGGTATTACACTATGGATACTCCTATGCAGTACAATTCCCCCCTTCGATGCCAGATTTATCCTTAAGTAATGCTTTGAGCTAAAGACCTGTGCTATGCTGTTTGCAGAACTGCTTTATCAGGATGGCAACGATAGCAATGTTCGGTTGTAATAAAACATTTAAAATGATTTACCTCTCACAGACTTTAGCCAGTCCACATTGAAAGATTTGAGTTCCTCTGCATCAGTAATGACCCTCCCAGGCAAAAGGTGCTCAAAGAAATTTAAATCAGAATCAGAAATACAGGCAAAAGGCAGCCTCTCTACCCCATAGCGTTCACAGGTGAGCATTACTTCCTGGAGATGAAGCTGGCTGGTGTGCAGATTTCTCTTAGTTATGTTGCTGATGCTCCATTGGAGAGAAGGAAAGAGCAGACATGTCTTCAGTGGTACTGTGGCTTTCTTCTCAATTCTGGATAGAGCGGCACTCCTATTCCATATACTCCTAGGGTTTTTTTGGCATCTAGCAACCAATCTGGGTACAGTCCCAATGTACTGAAATAGACAAGGCCGGACAAGGCTGGAAATAGCCATAATCAACCTGAAACATAAAAATAACCAGATGGAATCCCTCTTTCCAGAAAGCTCCCATTGTAATTTTCCCCTTTTAAAAAATGAAGACCATTAAAATGTTTAGAAAGTCATAATCTGATAGGATCACATGACACAGCAATTTGCTAAGCTATTCTAAGGAATCAGGGACTAAAAATCAATCACAACTGACTTCATCAGTCCTGTTTATTTCTACATTGCTACATAGGAGAAAATACATTTTCAATAAAGTATAATTGCATTAATTCTGCAAGATAGGCAATTGAATAATTGCTTGTGCTCTGAAACATGAAGGGCCTTCATCCAAAATGAAGTTCAGTATTTGAAATGAAGTTTTTACAAGAAGTAAATATGAAAACTTGTTTCACAAAGCATGCACACAATGCAAGAATGGGCAAGGAAGCTGAACTTTCTAGATGCAAACCATAGAAGAGACTAAATCAGATAAGCCTTCTAAGTCTCACTTTACCTATCTTCAAATTATTTCATCACTTTATTTAACATCCTGGTTAAATGAACTCACGTTCAGCAGTGTTTCCCAACCTTGACAATTTTCAATTAGAGTGTATTAATTTCAGGTGCTTTACATTCTCCACTTGGCAGGTTATTGTGAAGGAGAATTCGGCTAGCTGAAGTCCAGAAAACGAACTTTGACATTTGGCTTGAACATCCCCCCCTCCCTCTTTTTTTTTTTTTTTTGCTCTCTTCCTGCTAATTGGAAAATATCAACCATTGCGCGCTATTTTGTGACCTCGAACTGGTTTGCAAGCGGCTTTTTTTCTTTTTACGATTGCTAGGACTTGAATAGGAAAGGGAATAAAACGAGGGGGGCAAGTCAGAGCTCGATGCTTCTTTTTTTCGAGCTGCTGGGAAAATTATAGCAGAGCGGAAGGAGCAGGACCTGGAGGAGAATTCTGATCCGCGGTAGCAGAGCGGTAGGGAAGGGAAAAGAAGGGAAGGGTGTCGCCAGGCGGAAGTTTCTTCCGTGCACCTCGCAAGCACCTACTCACTTTTTGCACCAGACCGGGGCCGACTTTTGCCTCTCGGCAGATCTAGGCGGTCCCTTGTTCGCTCCGCCCCAATCTTTGCGGGTAAAGAAGCGACATGCCACGTGAGATCGCTTCAAAGGCTCGTCGCCTAAGGTCGACTGAATCGATCGGGTACGGATGGATGCGGGTGGTGGTCCTGCTTCCCGACTCTTCCCTCGCAGCGCTGGATCTCTACCTTTTAACGCGCATCGTTCGCCCTGCCGATTCAGATCAGAAGCGTCCCAATTAAGACATAGCCTAACGTCCCCCAGGGCTATCAGAGAGGCACTAGAAATACAATCGTTTGCCGTTTAAACTTTAACGAGTGTATTAGAGGTTTTTTTATGTGAATATTCTGGTTAATGCTCGTATTAAAGTAGCGGGTGCTTCGGGAAAAAGTCTAAAAGTTAAACCATCTTGCCCCACCCACTCGGCTTTTTGGCCACAGTAGAAAGTGGGGGGGAACGTGTTCCATTTCCCTCCCACCCAGACTTGAAAATGAAAATGGAAAGTCAGTAGATAACATCAGTTCTCATTCTCAATTCAGCCCCAGGAACATTGAGAAGCGGTTATTGGGGCATTGACCAAGCATGCTAGCTTAGGCATTTGGGGGAGTTGACATGCACACTTCTTTAAAAGTTGCTGAGGTTGAGAAACACTGGGCTAAAGTGTCAAAGATACATTACGGGGAACTGCAACCACCCGGTGACTCCAGATGTGCTGGAACTATTTCTTGAATCCCCAGAGTTCTAGTCTTTCTGGAAGGCACAAAGCTGGCAGAAGCTGTACTATTAGATCATCACTCTTGCCAGATAATAGCTACCATGCTAGATTTTACTAAGCTAGCATTCCCAATTAAGATGCCATTGTGAGAAACGGAAACAGCCTATTGGACTACCAGTCCATAGGTCTCAGGATAGCACCCTCCCTCAAAAAAAAGCTACATGAACCAAAGTTTTAGATATAAATATTTCAAAGTGTAACAGAACTATTTGTAATCCTGCTGAGCTGTCTCTGAAATGTGATTTTGTAAAATATGTAGTTTTGAAAACTGTGAGAAACAAGGAACTTAAAGTAGCCGATGGATAGAAGTTTGACATGAACACAGGTATATGTGGAAACTGTCAGTAAGAAAGAACAAGTAAGTTGTGAAATTCGTGCAGAAAAGTATAAAAAGAATGTCTTGGGATGGGTTCAGGGCCACTGGCCGTAGCTCTTCCTTGCTGGACCTCATTGCAATGGGTTATTGATATAAGTTGTGTTATGATGGCTGTTCATGTTCCAAATTGCTCATGAAATAAACTTCTGAATCTTAAAGTAAGAATTGTTTATTGTATTGCTGTTTCCTCTTTTTTTTTTAAAATAAATTTTATTAAATTTCCAAATTTTAAAAAACATAAAACAAAACTTTATACATTGTTATCAACATGAAGACATCTTTTGGATTTCCTCACATTTTTTCAGTATATGTATTTACTTATTTTATTCCTTTACCATTGCATCTTACTCTTACTCTAAATCAGTATCTTTTATCCTTACATCTCAATCTTCTCCATGGTATATTTGCATATTTACATATTCCCTCCTTCTTTTCCTAATTGCCATTTTATTTTCTTTTTATTTCTAAACCACTCATACCAGGCATCCCAGGCCCTATAATAGACTGAATCTTCTCTGTCTTTTATTTTCATCATTAGCTTGTCCATCTCTATACAATCTATTATTTTTTAAATAACCATGCCTTCCGGTAGAACCCTTTTTTCCTCCCAGAGTTGTGCGTACGAAATCCTTGCAGCTGTTAATATATGTAACATAATATACCTATCTGTTTTATTGCATTTTTGTGTTATTATACCTAATAAAAAAAGTTTCCAGATTAAATTCAATTTTTTGATTCGTGATTTCTTCTATCCATTGTCTAATTGTATTCCAATATTTTTTCACTTCCACCAGGTATGAAAATAAGTGCCTTTTTCTTTTCCACATTTCCAACAATTTGGGTCTGAGTTAAACATTTTTGCCAGTCTAGCGGGAGGAAGGTGCCATCTGTAGAACATTTTGTATTGATTTTCCTTGTATGCTGTGGATGTAATTAGTTTGTAATTTGATCCCCACATTCTCTCCCAATTTTCCAGGTCTATATGATGGCCAACATTTTTCGCCCATACCACCATGATCTCTTTGACCACCTCCTCTTCCATTTTAAAATCTAGTAGAAAGTTATATATTATTGAAATCATTTTCTTTTCCATTTCTTGTAGAATTTTATCTAATTGATGCTTTTCCATGCAGAAACCAAATTGCTCTTTGTCCTTCTGATATCTCACCTGGATTTGCATGTATGGCCACCAATCTATCAGCTGTTTCCTTTCTTTTATTGGAATATTTTTATGACACCATTAAAATCAGGAAGTTGTAAGATAATGATAGCATTACCTGTTCTAGGATTCTTTTTATCCCACACTGCTTTACTTAATCTACAGCCCAGTGAATTCTGAAAACTGAAATCTTAGCAATTTTATTTCATTAACTTTAACCATTTAAATAAACCATTATTTAAATTGTAAAAGTATCTTTCTAGCACTTTTCCTTTTCCAACAAAGTTTGTAAAATGTTTATCATGCTTTATGTTTATCAGCATAAACATTTGGGAAGTTAAAATAAAAAATTCGGAACACATTGAAACACTCTCCACATTGGAAGTCCCATGTAAGCAGAAAATGTACCCGTGGATAAGGGAATCACTCAAACCATAGCTCTTATCCTGTTACATTGCACCCTCTGTTAGGACTGACTCATATCTCCTTACCAGACAAATCTCACAGAAAGTCTCTCTTCTATTAGTTATTACTATCAGATAAGCATCTCTGAACATAGCTAAATTCTGTTATCTGTAAAGTAAGGCAGACTTTGGCTACCATCGATGATCCCATCATTAATTCTAATAACCAATGTTTTGTTCTGTTCTATTTTAATGTTTTAATTTCTATTTTGGTCTATAGCCGTAATAAAACATTGAAGTGAATGGACTTGCAAAAAAAGAGATTTGTCATCAGGATTTTACTTGGATTTAAAACCTCCAACTAAAATAAAAGCCAAATTTAGAAACGTAAACATTTAGTGGAGGATTACAAAATCCTCTAATCACTCTAAGGAAGTATTGATCTGATAAATCCTCCAATGCAGGGAGATTAATCATTAGAATAGTAAGGGCTGAATTTTACTCTTTAGAAATAGACAGGAAATTAAACGTTGTGACTGAAACAACTGCTAGAAGTGTGGATGAATTTAAAGTGGTTTTGCCATCAAATGTACAACTGAGCTAGATGTTTTGAACAAGAAGAATGGAATGAAACTGTTCAAAGCCAATGATGCTTCTTCCATATTTTCTTTAAGATTATGTTATACAGTGGTGAAAATGGGTTAATTCCATTTCAAATATCACTTATACTCCAGATTTAGTGTAAAACATAAAAGTGAAATTCAAAGGGTTCCTGGAATGGAGCTTAAAATAAGTCAACTGCACAACTGTGTTTTATTCCAGAGAACGTTGAAGTTCAAAGTTCAAACCTGAGATAGAGATAGATGATAGACATCTAGATAGATAGAATTTGGTTTGCAAAACAAATTCACTTCTAGTTTGTGCACTATTTTCTTTCTCAGAAACAAAATATATCCACATATTTGTTCTCAAAAATACTTTATTTATAATAATATACCTAATATATCCATAACATGATCAAAAATACATCTCACATTTTAATAAAAAGATTTATAATATTCTCTTCATTTACAAAGGAAACATAAATCTAAAGCTATAACTAGAAAATTTAGGCTGTGACATTTATGAGGAACAATGGGGAAAAGATAACATTTCTTTTTGAAAAATTGAGTTTTTTATTTTTTAAAACATGTATTCAGCTCCTCACGTTCAAGTTTCAATAATGGAACAGGATACTGTACAAGCAATATTCAGAATAGTTTCTCAAAAGACAAGAATCAAGATAACAAGTTCAAAACCAATATGGATTTTAAAACTTCAAATATAAACTAGTTGGTATCAATGCAAATCCTTCTTTCAAAATAGACAAGTCAACATGGAACAATTGCTCAGTCCCATATCATTTTTCAAAAATTGGATGGTTTTTTACTCACTCACTCATGCATACTAAATACCTAATTCCTTGGGATTGAAGAATTGAGTTTAAATCTTGTTTATTAAATTAACAATGTTAATTTGCTTCAGGAAACATGTAGCAGCAGTAATCATTGGAATTACATAAAAAGAGCTTTTACCATCAATCTATAGTATTGTACTCTTTACTGACAGGAAAAACATAATTTAAAAGTAACTGCTATTGTAGTATAATGTCATCATACATCACTACCTACAGAGGCACACTTTATTTTATAGAAGATCAATATAGTACACCCACAGTTTCACATTTATCTTTTGCTCACTTCTAGGAATTTTATCATAACTTAGGGCAGAAATAGATACAGTATGATCCTCCAGATTCTACTGATTCCCGATATCTGTCAACTTTAATCAGAACAATGTAAGGGATGATAGGAATTATCTAACATTTATATGGCCATAGACTACCCTTTTATGACTCCAGAGCTCTAATGAATCCTCCTCTTTTATAAAAAGAATTATCGGTGCTTTGTTTTATCTCTTTTGCAGTATCTTAAGAATCCGACTTGGAACAAAGCCTGTCTTCTAAAATTCCTTAACATTTAAAAGAGACACTATACATTGGTACCTTGGCACTCAACTGCTTTGAAACTCATCAAATTTGGTGCTTGATGCATTCTGATGAGAAAATTTTGTCCCATTTGTTTGGTACTCAATACGCAAGGTGTCAGTTGCCTCATGATTCACTAACTTTTCCAGCCAAAACAAAGGGTGACCTGTTAGTCACTTGATAGCCCCTGCCCTGTGCACATCACCTTACAGTCTTATCTTTATTTCTGCAGTCATCTTGTGTATTTTTGCTTTTCTTTCCCTCATCAGTAAAGTTACAGTGAAGCTTTTATTTTATTTAATCTAAGTATTTACTAACTTTTAGGTTTGTTTTCATGGAAAGTAATGATATACAATCCTAGCTTTTTACATATTGCCTTAAAATGTGCAGTTTTTGGTTTGGGAATGTATTGAATTTATTGACATTATTCCTTATGGGGAAATTTTTTTTTTGTACTCATTGCACCTCCCAGAAACGAGTACTGAAGTACCACTGTATAGCAATATGATATTCCAGAAGCATATAAGGACCCTATGGCATAAATACTATAATGTTATTTTTTCCTCTCCTTCTTAGGAAAATAATGCAGTTTTCATTTTTAGAAAGCAAGTACAGTTACAGAATACATAAAATGGTACAAATACTGTAACTGAACTGCATTACTAACTACAAAATTGCGTGTACAAAACTATAAGAATTTGCATTCTTCCATAATAAAAACCAAACTCTTATAAGAGGTTTTTTTTTTTCTAAATGTAAACTAACAATTTTGAGAGTTTTGCAACATTCTAGAGATCAACTTTTCCAGGTTGAAATGGGATTCATTTGGATACTGCAGATATAACGGTGTTTTAAGAAAGGTATTGATTGCTAACATTTTTGGCAATCATTTTTACATTACAAGCTAAAACCAATTCTAGCAAATTAGGCAACTGGATATTTTCAAAAGGATATTCCTCCATTTAAACTGACTTCACTTTTTGCTTAAAAAAATTTAAAATATACTATCTAAAAGCTGAAGGTAATATGGCAGAATCCTTGGCGAACAAGAGTATGTTTTTGTCTAGCTGAACAGAATTTTCAGGTTTATGAAATATACAAAAGCATGCAAACTTGACCTACCTATGAGAGAATGACAGGTGGACAACAAAAATCGTTTTGTGTGTGTGTGTGTGTGTGTGTGTGTGTGTGTGTGTGTGTGTGTTGGGAGGAATGCCTCTCTCTTACCTGAGAAACTCAGAAAAGAAGGTTAATATTACAGTGGGTAGTAGAAAGTATCTCAGTGAAGTCAAAACATGAACGTACTGCATAACATTCTATTTAACACTTTTGTGCAGTTATGGAAATTTCTCATTTTATAAAACATTATTCCCTGAAAACTAGTTTTCCTGTTCCTTTGTTGTTAACCCAAACCTATTTTAAAATATTAAGTCTTATTTTATGAGGGATTTATACCATACTGATATCACAGGTATTGCTTATCAGTAAGAATGACAGCAATGCATCCAGTTTCAGTGAAACCAGAATGAAGCTCAGAGGGGACAGTACACAGAAACAAGCATTTTGAAATAAGCATTGTGAACTCTCCTAATCAAAAACAATTTCTTTGTGTGAAATATAACTTTGCAAACTTATTCCAAAGTGGCAAAATTGCACATTGAAAATCTCAACCCACTCTGTGATAGAATCCAATATTATACAAATGGAAAATCTACCTACAAAAATGAACTATGTGATTCCACATCTTATCAACAATGATAAAGGTTTTGATACTGGATTTAAGACTTCATAAAATTATTGTGCAAAGGCCTGCATCAAAAATTATGCAAGCCTATCCTTCTCATATACAGGACTCATACTTCATTCTGAACCTGTTTCCCAATGCTCACTCCAAGCCTCTAAAATAATTTTAGAGGATGCATTGGGAAATACAAGAGAAACATGTCATTCTGCCAGTGAAATGGTACTGGTGAAAGCTTCCCAAAGTGACTACATTTCGTGACAACATTTTCTTCACATGAAAGGCCACAGGCAGTTTTCACAGGTTATATATATAATATATTAGCAGAAATTCCAGTGCAGACCTACTCTTAAGTACTTCATATCTTGGATTACAGTGACAAAGAAGTGTACTTTGTAACCCAACTAATCATCACTAATGAACTTCCTGTATACGCCACTTTTGTCATTCATATGGCTAATAAAGATAACATCTTGCTACCACATTGTTTCAGGCCAAACAAGATCGGTGATGAAAACAAAATACTGCAACATATGAATATATTAAACTTTTTTTCATATGATACATCATTTTTACTTCTTCTTCTTCTCCTGCGCACAGCGAGGACAGTACCTAAAAAAAGAGAAGCATTATATTTAGCCCTATGAAACCACTGCTATTTGACAAAGGAATACATTGATTTATGAACAGATTAGCACAAGGAACACTGGAGGTGTCATGTCCCCTATTAATATTATCATAGACATATTCACGCCCCTATTTTCATTCATTAATTCAATACATACACATATCTCTCTATGTTGGCCTAAACATCCTAGACCACATAAGATATGTATAGTATATTACATGTGTGGATATGTAGTTTTTTTTAATTTGCCAATTTAAATTTGGAAATACACAGATGTATAAATCCTAAAATATAAGTCTCACAGATTTCAGTGATATTTGCAAATGAAGGAATTTCTTCATACGAGCAATTTGTTAAACTATATACATTCCTAAATTTAGTGGACTACGTTTCCCAACAGATATGCTTACAGTAATTGCATCAGACCACTCTTCCCTAAATTGGTACCTGACAAATACGTTGAGACTATAATTTCCAGCACACCCAGAAGGTTGCTAGATTGAGGAAGAGTTGCCTTATATTATAACCTCAGATATCAAACGATAGCTCTTCCACAATAATATACCAAGCGCTGAATCAAATATATCTTAGCAATAGTATTTTCAACCTTCTTGGGACAAATGATTTATAAAGAAAATAGGGGAACCAAAAGTAAACAATTCATGGTACATACCATTTTCCTTTGGGTTTGGTTGTGAGATCCACACAAGCAAAGTGAAACCATTCAATTGGACACTATATTTGGGGTTGAAAAAAAGATGAATGGCATTATGTTTTCCTCATCAGTCTTATAAGCAACATGAGTTTGGCTATCTGGTCCTATTCCTGCATGCCATTCATGCAGGAATAGCAAATTTTATTACAATATTCTTTATTGCAAAATGCTTACATTGTAGAATTACACGGCTCATTCTTTACAGCAAAGGAAAACAGGGATAATATATTCATGATTTCATAATAGTATGTATTGTGTGTGTTTATGACAGCTATGTAGTATGAAATATGGAGCAACGATATGCAGAGAATGTTAACATATAGATTTTTTTCAAATTTAAAAATATAACTGACCTTTTCCAAAACTGTGTAACAAAGAGTCTGTAGAAACTCTCCATGGTGTTACTATGGGCTGTGATTTTTTTTTTACTTTGCACCTTCTTTTTCTTTCCTTTAAACCTATACATCAGTGTAATTTTAAATAGCTACTGCAGTGTTGCTTCTTCCACATTTGCAATACAAATTCTTGCAAAATAAATTGTATTTCCTGGAAGGGTACAAGATGACTTAATGTTCTAACACTTTGCAAGAACCAGGGATGGTTTGTGATTTTATGAAGAATGCTATATTAGACTGGCAGTTGTTTTTGGTTTAGACAGCAAATTTCAACTCATAGCACAAATGGATAGCATCTGTCATACTTTGGTTTATTTCAATACTCACATCGGGGTTGTCACACCCAATCATTTCTCCATAAGATACTTGATGGCACAAGCAGTATGTGGGTTCATTGGGATCCACTGGCATGTCCAAGACATCAGAAGGGTGAACCGACAGGATGGTATCCGCTAATTCAGATCTGCTATGATATAAATTCAATGGAAATGGGTGAATGTCAGTGACTCAGTAATTCAGAATATTAAGAATTTGTCATTAATTAGAAGGGGTTAAAAAACTGATTTTTTTGAATTGCCAAACTAACTATTGCATTTTTTAAATCAACAAACATCCTTAATGAATTGTAAGAATGCTGTGCATCCTAAAGCATGATTTCAGCAAAACATCTGACAAAGTATTCCATGATATTCTGATTAGCAAGTTGGTGAGGTCAGGATAGGTTGACAATTATGTGGGCAATATCCCTTCTATTTCTCAACATTTTTATTAACGACTTGAAAGAAGAGAACATGCTCAACAAGCCTGCAGACAAAACAAAATAGTACAAGTAGTCCTTGACTTACAACCATTAGTTTAGTAACCATTCAAAGTTAGAACAGCACTGAAAAAGTGACTTATGACCGTTTTTTGCATTTACAACTATTGTAGCATCCCCATGGTCATATGATCAAAATTCAGCTGCTTGGCAACTGACTCAGGATAGTTGCAGTGTCCTGGGGTCATGTGATCACCTGTGCAACCTTCTGACAAGAAAAATCAACAGGAAAACCAGATTCAGTTAAAAACTATTGCTAAATTAACAACTGCAGTGATTCTCTTAACAACTGTGGCAGAAAAGGTTGTAAAATGGGGCAAAACTCACATCATCATAAATGTTAGGCTCAATTGTGGTCATACGTCGAGGACTACTTGTAATATAATGTTTCAAGACAGAAATAAAGTTTAATACAATATTAATACAAAAGAAAGAATTCAAGATACTGCACTGGGTTCAGAAAGGCTAGGAGAATGATCAAAGGGCTGAAAAGTAAATTCTATGAACAGACACTATTTCTTATGTTTCATGCTTTAGAATAAAAGAAGTGAACAAGACAAGACTCTTCAAATCCCTGGAAGAACATTCAAGGATACAAATATGTATGATCTTATGTTTAAATGTTATAATCAACAGAACTTTTTCAAAGATGATACATAGCAGAAAGACACCACCACTGGATTTCTGAATAGCTTAAACATTTTTTCTGTACTGTTTTATCTTGCTCTCACTCATAAATTTATGTCACCCAATAAAAACATTCTCTTCTACTCTATTCACTGCAGCATAACAGAGTCACAAATCTATGGTTTTCTACTTCAATGTGCATCTGTAATCATTTAGATGATGCCATTGGTTCCTTTAGGATACCTAGAGTTTCATTCATAAACTTACAATTTCATGTCCTTGTAGTATTTCCTGCTAAAGGTATGGACAGTACCAATTAGTTTGGACATATTTTGCCCATATGCTACAATTGCAACCAATGCTTTTTTTTTTTTTAAACCACAAGCACACTGGCACTACTGTCTGTGAGCTAGGATATTTAAACTAGGGATTGATATTCCCAATAGCTGTTTTCTGCTCGTTCTCCAACCCTTGACCAGATTGGGTGGGTTTTTTAAAACCCCATTTGAAGCCAGCTAGAAGAGAAGGAAGGCAAAATGGAGTTTCCCTTCTTCCTTTTTAAGCCTACCTGGAAAGGATTTTTCTTGCTTTTCACCAGTTGTTCAGAGACTGGGCTCCTAAACTTTACTCGTTTCTGTCCATTCTTTATAGACTGATAGATCCAATTTGAATAATTTTGAAATCTTTTGTGTGAATGGGATTTTTCCTTCTCACCAAAAGCTACAATCCAAAATATACCTACCCTAGAATACTTTCTTAGAGTCTGGAATGAAAAAGTGTTTCTACTGCAAGTTGACTTTGGGGGAAAAAAACCCCAACCCCAAAACTCTTGACTATAGTCTCTACTAATTTCTAACCTTCTTTTTGGTTTCTTTTTCACTGGAACTTCTTCCTCTGATGTCCGCCGGCCTCGACCACGGGAGGTTTTCTTATCCTTTGGAATTCTCCCCTCTAAAATACAAGCATTTTTCGTTAACTACATTGTTAAGGAAAATAGTATAATTTTGTTTTTAGACATGTGGACTAATATCACAGGAGGCTTTTCTCCAATGCCATTTTTAATTGAGAATTTTTCTCATAAGTGTTCAGGGCAAGAAGTAAGCTTTTCTTATAGGAAGTGTTGTCGTAAGGCACTTCCTCAAGGCCACATTAATATACTTTCCTCCTTTCCAATCATAAAAGGAAAGCATATTGATACAAACCAAGCAGCTCCTATAACCTATTACTGCACCATAGCACTGTTGTTACCCTGACATTAATTAATATGGTATAATTTCAGAACAGCGTTTGGTAGATTCCCAAATCTCCTTCTCTTCTCCTATCCAGCATCACCTGTTGGCAGGATTTCAAATACAAATTAGTGCAATGAATAAGGCTGAGGGATTTCATCTACGATTTCATTGCTTATTTATTTATTCATTCTTTTTATTAATAATTTTTATTATTCACGGCTTGATCCTGCAGGAATCTGGATGATTTCTAGAATGCAGTTTCCCTCAAATTGTTTCACGGATTAACACTCTCTTGGCAGCTAAGGAGTCCTGTTAAAGAAGATTGATATGTCTAGTTCAAACAACTTCTCTTCACAAAATCTGCCTAACTGAAAGCATCAATTTGAAGTACATGTAAACCTCGATTTATGACTACAATTGAGACCAAAATTTCCATTACTAAGCAACAGTTAAGTTAGTTTTCCCTCATTTTACAACTTTTTTGCCACTGTTAAGTGAATCACCATAGTTAAGTTAGTAGCAAGGTTGTTAAGTGAGCCTGACCTCCCCATTGACTTTGTCAAAAGGTCACAAGTGATCACATGACCCCAGGATACTGCAATTGTCATAAAGGAGCCAGACGCTAAACAGCAAATTTGATCATGACCATGGGGATGCTGCAAGTCTTAAGTCTGAAAAACATAAGTCAGTGCCACTGTAATTTCAAACAGTCACTAAACAAATGGTTGTAAGTCAAGGACTACCTGTATGAAGGAGATGTGCCAAATCAGAAAAACTGCATCCCTGGATCCTTCTCATTTTTCTCTCCTGAGGACAATTTATCTCATAAATCATGTTTGGTCAGATAAATAGCCTTTTCTTTCTCCATTCCAGTATTTGAGTATGTAATTATATCATCAGTCATACACTTCCTCATATTACAAACTTCCCCATATACAAATATGTATACACATCTCAAGGACCAAGATTGTTGGCTGAGGCTGATTAAAAAATTAATTCAAGTTCTAAAGACTCTATCATATTAGTCACAATATCCATACTTTTTAAGTTTTGTGTCACAGGGCTTTCAAAATCACTGCCTTCCAATTTATCCTTCAGATCAGCTTCAAATCGGGCAAGGTCAGCATCTAGCCGTCGAATGTGCTTGTCCACCTGAAACAGACAGATACACCACAGAGCTGAAGAAAACAAATTTTCTTAAATAGTATTTTAATTAAAAATCAGACAGTTTTCTGTAATAAAATATTAAATAGAAGTTTGGCTATACATGTTTAGACGGTAAAATAAGAATAGGAATCAGATTTTGGTTGGATATCAGGGATAATTTCCTAATCATAACAGTTGTTTAACAACAGAACTGTCTCAAGAGCCAGAATACTTTCCTTCACTGAAAGGACATAAAGGTAGCCTAAATGGCTGTGTAATGTTATAATAAGGGATTCTTAAAGCTAGATTAATAATGTCCCTTCCTACCATTACATTATTTTAATTACAGATTTTTAAGAAAATGAAAAACAGGAAGAGAAAAAAGAAAGCATCAAATAGATTGATACTTAATTTATAAACAATATAGTATTAGGTCATTTTTTTCAATATTTCATTAATTTTAAATAACAGAATATGCAATATTCATATATTGTATATATTTTTATAAACCACATGAAAATATGTGGTTACTAGTGTAGCTAGCAGGTATACTATACTAAATTCATAGTTCTGAAGCTTCATAGCAGTAACAAATATATATGTGATGGTTACAATTCTTTTTTTCTTCCAGACAACATTGGAAACTTTTTTCTATAAATGCAGAAACAAAGGAATGTTATGTATCAGTTATATCTCAATGTCAAATGTGCACAGTATAGCTATTATACCTATCAATAAGTCAGGGTCAAAAATCATGACTTAGTTCAATGTGTGAATATCAATTGTTTCATAGCTGTTAATATATTCCTCAATGAAATTCTAATCAATAATCCATTCCAGAAATATGGCTGAAGAGACAATTTTGATAAATTTATTTCTAACAAATATAATTACTTATCAGACATACAGTATTTATTCTAGACTTCACATTTTTACTGTTTTTCATTTTGCAAAAGATTAAATGAGGAAACAGTACTATTTATACACAATCCCTGAGTCAGAAAATGTATGATAAGTGTTAGCTGAAGTCCAGCATAGCTCCTCCATTTGTCAGTGAGCAGTTGCTAAATATTTTTAAAAAGGTTGCCATCTGAAAGACAAGCTAAAAGATTAGTTAAGGGATATCATCACATAGGCACTGTCTTGGTCTTCTGCAGTATCATTGCTCTATTTAATCTTACCATCTCGTAGGTCTGCATGGCCAACTGCACTTTGTCATCACTATACTCTTTGCATTTTGTATAAGCATTTTGGATCTTCTGCAAGATTTCCACTCGTTGCTCTGATGACAGATCCCGCACCGTTGAAATATATTGTGCAGCAAGACTATCAATTTCTGCTTTCTTGTCTGAAGGACAATGAGAAACAGTATAAGTATAAAATTGAAACTGCAATCCAAACTTCATCATACCAAAAAGCATCAAATAATTAAATGAAGTAGAGAAATAAGAAAATGTGTTTCAATGCTATTGCTAGGAGTTCATTTATCAGAGGATGTTTTATTAATCTGATTGGGATTTATTTTCACATAAACACAGTATCTAATTGTATTTTATAACTGAAATATTTCAAGAACCATACAAAACAAAACTTATTTATTTTAAGAATATTATTTAACAAATATGTATTTTAAAATCTAGGAAATTACAACCCTAAAATATCATTTTAAAAGTCTTTGGCACTGTAATTTCTAAAATTAAAATTAACTCACTGGCAACCATCTCTTTATCACAAAATCTTTAAGCATATTACCAGATGGATGGAGCCTATTACTGGATATATCATGTGTGATTTGAGATGCTAAACAAACAGTAACATTAGAAGAGAGCTAAACACTTTCACTTCAAAAACCAGCTAGTTAAGGAAAGACTAGAGTATTATTTGACTCTCTGAATGTAAATGACTAGAATAATAATTTTGAGGATTAAAATTTTAAATTTCTGCTGCTAGAAGAAAACACCCCTTTGTATTCAGACTTCTGAAATAGTTTGATTTAAACAACTGTTTTCCAGCAATATCTTATAAATTCAAATACAGTACTTGTTTCCCATATGCAAGCAGAGAACCGAAATTAAGAAAATGGCTACTTCTAGTATCATACTTTTCGCTAATAAATAGCACTGCAGTACCAGCACTGCACTGTTTGTCCTTTAAAAATGTCATATGCAAAAATAAAATATTCAATAATTTGATTCTTATCATTAGTTATTTCCAAGATGAGAAAGTGAATTGTTTGACTTTTAGTTTTAAAATGTATGGTGAGCCCTTAAACTTGTCTTCTCAAATCTCTCTGAATCTATCACTAGGTAAATATACATTACATCAAAAGTGGGAAACCTTTCTTTCTATTAAAGGCTATATTACTATAGTTTTGAAGGTACCATGAAAGGATACAGCTTAAAACAGTGAATGGGATTAGAACCAAAAGTCATTCTTTTTGTAAAGCTTCTTTTTTTCTCTCATTCTCTTTCTGATACTCTTTCAACTCTCTTCCAAGAATAAAGTGTAGGAGAGGAATTGTATCTCTTACCATGATTCTGAACTGATTTTTTTGCGAAGGCCTTTTTAAATTAGACCAAAGGCTACATGTGATTCTAGAACAAACAATTGTATCCCCGCATTATCTGAAATAGATCTGAGTTAGTATATTTGAATATACCTTCTGTTCTCTGATCCAGTTCACGCATAAGTTGGAAGTTTCTCTGTAATTCACAGGGCAGGTTTTCAATGCCTGAAAGAGAGATAGAAAGACTGAATCCTTTTCATACCACAAACCTATTCAAATTAAATTTCTAACCAGTTTGTAACTATCATTATGATCTCTTCCCACCACACATCATTCCCAGTTTTATATGCTACTCATATGGTTCCAGTCTCATAGGTTCCAGTGCCTAAGGCTGGAAAACAAATATTGCTAGAGCCCAAAATACTTTAAAATCTCCGAAGGAGAATTAAAAGTGATAATTGTGGCTCATAAACACTGCTCACTTCATTAGTTCTGTTCACTAACATTCCTGCTATCTCCGAATATTCTGTTATCAGAAGATATTAGCAGGAAAAAAGCAGAAATGTTTAAAGTTACAGCAATGTCAACATGCAGTTTCCATGTTTTTTAACAATATTATGGATAATGGCAGAAGATATTGCTCCGAATTCTTTCACCAACTTTACTTCTATCATCAGCATGTATAATACATTTTTGGCACAGAACGTATGCCTTTTCCAGCATGATAAATCATTTTCTGTACATTTGATATCTCCAACACTTCACATTCTAATTCTATTGATCCTTTATCAAGGCTGTGGGGTATCTGAGAGAATTCCTTATCCTCAGTGGTCCTTCCATCTCATGAGCCTATTACTGAGTGACGGGGGACTGAATGTGGTCTTCTATTGGAAAATGCATTAAAACCTTCTATGTGAATGCTCCCTATTACAGGGAAGAGGAGTATAAAAGAGACCAGGAGCATGCAAGGCTACAATTCTTCTGCTGCAAGACCACTTATCCCATCCAGCCATGGGAATTTGTTGTTTCCTAGACATTTCTGCTCTGGCTGATGAAGAGAAAAAAATATCAATAATGCCTCTTCTTTCTTTTATAATGAAACTATTAATCTTGTACAGCAGCTCTTCCAGGAGGCTGATATTCCCACATATCTACAAATGGGCTGTCAGTGAAAGCATGGTTCCTTACTTTCTTTAGCTCCTCTGTCAAATCCAATCCAGGGAAGTATCTTCAGCTTATTAATCTACTTTTGTGATATTACTTCATTACTGAAACTCACTGCCCGGCTGATTCCTGGGTTCTGCTTTGCTGCCCTTTTCTAATAGAAATGTGAGTTTCAGAGAATTCAATGTACTGCACATTATTTCAGTTGCTTGCTTTCAAAGTTGTATCTCCCTGTCCCTGCCCCCCTCATCTTTCATCTCAGTTTTCATATAATAAAACAATTATTTCTTTGGAAAAATAAAAAATGGCCAATAAGCTGATAGGCTACTTAGTCTCAACCCTAGTTTAGTGCATATTCAGGGCTGGAGAAAAGCAGGACACAACATCTTTCCTCTTGCAAGCACGGTTTTCCTAAGCCTAATCAAACACTGCTTTTGATAATTTTTATACAGTATAGGCAGCAGTATATCCCTTGTTGCAGAAAGAAGGTACAAAGAGAGATTTTTTTGGGGGGGGGGATCTGTCTTCCATTTATTCAAAACTTCTCCATTGATCTTTTCTAATGCAATAATTCAAAATCTGCAGTCCCCAAATCAAGTTCAGAGAACTCTAATGATGCAACGTGTTAAGCCTGAGCTGTAACACTATGTATTTGTAGGGCCATACTTTCCTCCAGTCAAGGATATGAGGCATCCACATCCATGAACGTATAAGGATAAGCCTAACAAGGGGGGCAGACTGGATTCTCAACTCAATCTTTATACAGGTAGTCCTCAACTTTTGACAACAACTGAGCCCAAAATTTATGTTGCCAAGTGAAACAAGTGAGTTTTGCCCCATCTGATTTCGCTTGTCAGGTCATAAAAGAGGATCACACGACCCTGAGATGCTGCAACTGTCATAAAAATGAACCAACTGCCAAGCATCTGAATTTTGATCACTTGACTAAAGGGATGCTTCAACGTTCTAAGTGTGAAAAATGGCCATAAATCCCTTTTTAAAGCACCATTATAACTTCGAACGGTCAGTAAATGAGCAGTCGTAGGTCGAGGACTACTTGTAGATGTGAAAGCTGGACTGCAAGCCGACTTCTGGTTCTTTCTTCTGAGTTTTTCCTCACTGCAGTTCTGCATTCAATATTGATAGCATCCGTTTCGACGTTTGCACAACTCTCTCGTCGGTATTGGATACTTAAAGGAAGCTTTCTGTCGAACTCCTCTGAGCCAGTCAGAAGGCGGCAAGTTCGCTTTAAAAATCCGCGACAGATCAATTGTTTTTAGAGAGAAATCGGTAAAAGGTGGTTCGCTTTTGCTCTTCAAACTGTTTTAAAGCAACTGTCTTAAGCAATCGCGCCGACCTGCTGCGAGGCATAAAAAGGAAGTACTTTCATGGCCACGAGGTTGTCGAGAGAGAAGATGGGGCCTGTCACCCGGGAAAATGCTCTCCGTTTAAAGACTTGCGTAACAAGCTTACAGGTGGCAGTGACGGCGAGGAGCGCCAAAGCGGCCCCTACCGGCGAAGACCATCAACTACCGCGCCTGACCCGGCTAAACGTCTTTTTCGGCGCGCAGTTAGAGGTGTGACGCAGCAAAAATACCACGCCGGTTAGTTCCTCTGAACCCCCCCGCTCCCCAATCTTATCCCCGCACCAACACGCACACCGGGGCTATGGCGCAGCTGTAACAGCCGGCGAGACCACGCGGCGCTTCAACCCGCCCCAACGCCGCACTCACTCACTGTCCAGATAGTGCTCCAAATACAAGGCCGCTGCCGCCATCTCGAGTCAGCCAACCGCCAACCAACCGGCCGACGCCCACCTTTCAGCCGTCGCGCGCTCGGCGCTGTCACCCCAGCGCCTTTGCGATGGCCGGCCAAGCTTTCATCGCATAGTCATGAGGCGCCGCCACCGATTGGTCGCGCCGCCACCGTGCCGCCTATCAGTGAGAAGGCGGGGACGAGGACTGGAACGCCGGGAGTTGTCGGACACAGCTTCTCCCCCAGCGGGCGAAGTTGGCTGGACGCTGGCGAGTTTGAACGACATGGCCCCAGGCCGCGCCTGCAAGGAAACAGTGTCTCCCTTCAGACCTTTTGCTTAATATCAAGCGCAGCTTGGATGCCTAACGTTCTCGCCTCGAAGTCTTTTGGGCTAATGTTTCATGGTCCTCTGAGAGCATTCAATTCGTGTTTCTTTTTCAAAGTAAATAGAGTTCTCCCTTTATCCTGTTCCGGCCTGTGCCCTTTCTCTTTAGCCACGCCAACAGAGAGGAAATGAACTTAAAATGGGGTTGCGAACTGCTATCCCGTTTGTCAATCCCTGGAGTGAAAACAAATTTTTCACAACGGACTTGATTATAAACCAAAGCGTGCTACCTTGAAGGGGTTTTTTTTTCCAATGAAAAGAATTAAGATTTTGAAAGTGAAGCTTTATTTGTTATGGTTATCTTGCAGAAATGGTTTGAAAAGATGTCGTCCATTCAATTACTCGCTTGGTTTATTGGAGCCGGCCAATCTCGCGCAGGGTTGTTGTGGGGATAAGTGAGGGAATGCCACGTACTCCGCCTTCAGCACCCGAAGCAGAGGTTTGGCGTACCTAAGCATGACTAAAAATCCTCGGAAATATATCCAAATGAGTTAGGGACGTTCTCTCGTTAAATTAAAATGCTGCGTACGAGAGTCTTCCGCGATCGCTTCTTCCTTCATTTAGGAATTTTTTAAAAATGATTTCTAAAACCTATCTCGAAGCAGGTGCTTCCACCTATCTCCTTACAAATTAATTTGGACGGTCTGTTTACACTGACATTTTCTACAAGGTAGCCTCCAAAAGGCTTGGCGGTTAATAAATGCTGTAGGTTAAGAGATTAAAAAGCGAGCCTAGAGAAGAACCGACGAAGCACCGGGCGTTCAGCTTCCCTGCTCGCACTTTTAATTAACTCGCAGTTCTTGGTGCTCAGAAGGAAATTCAGGGTTTTTTTCCCCCCCTCTTCTAGGTCTTGGTACTTCTCCAGGACCTCGTGTAAAGAAAATGTTCGCGCGCTTCCGGTTTCACCTTCCTATTTGATTACCATGGCGACTGTAGGGCCGTTCTGCGCGCCGGAGGGATCATTTCTATGACTCAAACGCGGGAAGTTGCAAGGTCGGTGTCTCCAGACGCCCGCTTCGGATAAAAAAGGCGGGTTTTTCAATGGCGGGCCGTCGAGGTGCTTTGATTGTCCTGGAGGGAGTTGACCGAGCAGGCAAAAGCACACAGAGCCGAAAGCTCGTGGAGGCCCTCCGGGCAGGGGGGCACCAGGCCGAACTTCTCAGATTTCCCGGTAAGTGGAATGCAGACCTCGGAGTGGATACACAGTGCAGGAATGTCATAGAATGTCGCAGAGCAGACTGAAACTCGGTACAGCCCTTCAGAACCAGACAAGCATGCTTTAGATGACATTATGGAATTTATATTTATGGATCAACTGGTAGAAGAAAGAAATGGTAACACTAAAAGGGTTTTGCGATTGTTCTATTGCTAGGGTAAGTGTTGTACACCATCTATGGTTTATTATAATCTGATTAATCTATATTAATCTTTAAACTCTTTCTATTGGAACACTTGGAACACGCATTTTCAGCAGCTGGTTCTGTACAGAATATGCTTACATTTAATCGTTTTCAGCCTACTAGTGAGTTATTAAACAATGTTTCCTTTATTTCCACTGCAGATTATTTGGTACAGTGGTGCCTTGTTGCTCATTGATAATTGGTTCCAGGAGGCTGATGAATACAAAAAATGATGAGTACCAAATTTTCTCCATAAAGAATAATGCAATGAATCACAAGGCAGCCATCACTGACACAAATTTTAACTTGTGCATTGAGTACCAAACAAACAATACTAGGACAAAATTTTCATGTCAGAATCTGTTGATTACAAAATTTGATAAGTTTCAAAGTTGAGTATCAAGACACCATTGTATATACAATATTTAAATACTCCATTAAGATCTTGTTTGCATGTTCACTTGGATTATGGCACTAAAGAGGAAAACGGCACATACAGTTTTATTTCTTACACTTCAAGACATGAAGTGTAATTAACTAACATGCAGACTTAGTCATAGCTTTTGTATGTACCATATTTAATAGTACTTTAATTGCATATTGAAGTCATGCCATACTTTCAACTGAATTTTGAGAGAAATGAAAATTATCAGAGAAAGCAGTTGCACTTTATCAAATGCATATTTAATGCACATGCTATATGTTTAAAAAGAAAGAATTTGCAGACACTGAAGAAATGTGTTATATTTCATTTTTCCTCTTTGTTTATTACAGAAAGATCAACAGAAACTGGACAGCTAATAAGTTCTTACTTGGAAAAGAAAAACAACTTGGAGGATCACACAGTGCATCTACTGTTTTCTGCTAATCGTTGGGAGCAAGTGTAAGACAAATTTTTGTCTAGTACTAGGGGGTCCGAATATTTCCCATTAAATCCAATTTGATTTCACATTTTACTTCGGGAAAATTATGAATGTATGACTTTCAAATATTGTGTTAGGCTGCAATCCTATGGTCTATAGAATGTTCCAAGATCCAAAATATTTTTAGATGCCCTTCTCAGGTTGAAGAGGCAGCTCTTATTTCAAAGAAGGAAATCGGGCATAAAGCCTCTTCTCCCAAGAACATTCGAAATATCAGTAGTTTGTTTTGTTTTTTTCAGAAAAAGATGAAAGGCAGGTTGGAGTTTGATTATTATTAACTACTTGTTACTATAAACTAGATGTAATTAAATTACTAGATATAAGCAGAATTATTTCAAGAGGTTAAGCATTATTTCTGGGAAGATAAAGCAGATTATTTCTGCTTATTTCTACCCTAAAAAGTTCTCTAACAGCACAGATAGGATTGTTCTGTGCATATTTCCTGAAAAGGATGGGAAAGGTAACCAGGGAACAAAATCAGGAAAAGAATACTATCTCTTGTCAAGATTCAGAAATTTCAGTGTTATGGTATAGAAATACTGGTAACATATTTGAAATAAAGAAATGTTCTAGAATAACAATGCAACAGGTGCAAACTATATTTAACACACGTTTAAATTATACTGTACCAAAAGTTCGATTTTACTGTACCAAAAAGTAGATTTTACAACCCATTTAAACCTGGCACAGATATGGTACAGAATGGCATAATAATGTTAGAGAAGAGAACGAAATTAACTTTGAATTATAACACATAGGCCATAAGATTGCAACTCTGGTGCAGTATTATATAAACCTATTATATAAACACCCCCAAAAATGTACTGAAATTCTTGTAAAGACTCATTATTATTTTTTTTGTGTCTTTGATATATTTTGACACCTGGAGACTACCTGGACTAGTCTTTGCAGTTTTCTTGGCAAGTGTTTTTTTAAGTGGTTTGCCATTGCCTCCTTCCTAAGACTGACAGAGAATGGCACAGGATTACCCAGCTGGTGTCATGCCTAGGGTGGGTCTAGAATTCATGGTCTCTCAATTTCTAGTCATAAAACTGCATCAAATTCAGAGGTGGTATTCAGCAGGTTCTGACCAGTTCTGGAGAATTGGTAGCAGAAATTTTGAGTAGTTTGGAGAACCGGCAAATACCACCTCTGACTGGAGATTTAAAGTATCCTTCCCTTGCCACACCCACCAAGCCACGCCCACAGAACTGGTAGTAAAAAAATTTGAATCCCACAACTGATTAAATTGACTTTCAAAAACAATATAGTTTTTAAACTGTTAGTAGCAAAATGAAGGCACTGAAAACTGATATTAGCAAAACACATTTTACTGTCCTTAAAGAGCTGTCCAAGTGCCAGTGATTATGCCTTTAAAAATTGTCCAATGAATTAATAAAAACTAATTATAATTGGTTATAATTTTGATGTAGCCCAATTTGTTTAGTATATTATCTCCATTATATTAAAAGATGTTACGAAACAATGCAGTCTTAAAGTAATTATATAAAGTAGAAGTACTGAAATCTCCCATTTTGCACCATTACTTGCTTCTGGAGTTCTTCCCTAAGATGTGTGAACATTGCCCTTCCCCTGCATACTAAATGAATAGTCAGGGAATGCTATTGCTGTAACTTAATGTATTTTTATTTTTGGTAAATAACATGCCATTCTCTTGTTCAGGCCATCTATTAAAGAAAAATTAAGCCAAGGTATCACTCTAATAGTGGACAGATATGCCTTTTCTGGAGCAGCCTTTACAGGTGCAAAAGAAGTGAGTAAATCAGAAATGCACTAGCCTAGCATTGTATCATTTTTTTATTTTACCCTTTCTAGCAGCAGTCTCTGGAAATCAAATGGTTTATGTCAATTTTCTGCTTGCTGATTAGATTTTTTATAGATTTTGCAGTGTTGCAAAGTTTTGTTAGTGTAAAGGCTTTGGCAGGAAATCCATTTTAACTTTAAGGGGGGACGGACCCAGCTTTCAGGGAGAAGGGACGTGCGAGCAGGTAGATCTGCAAAACACGGACCCTTATCCCTGTTCTGCAGGACTCTATGGAATCTAAAGGAAGCTCGGAGGGCTTCCAAAGGAGAGGGGTCTCCGAAGACAAGCTACGGATGGTGGTCTGTGGTGGAAATCGGGGTAAAGCAGGGACGAGCGAACGGTGAAGAGGACGACCAACAATGGCCGTCCATGAGCGCTGACAGCTGGTCATACAAGCGGTGAATTAGTGGAACGAAGGTACAGTTAAACTACCAAAAGCAACAACCTGAAAGCGAATCAGAAATTAATTTAAGAGGAGGCGTAACACAATAATATTGAAAAATAACTTGGCTATCGGAGTTGGCTCTAGTTGAGGAGGTGCCAGAGCGGCAAGACGCATGGTGAACAGAACGATTGGAAGATTACTGTAAAGCTAAACGAGAGACGGGGTGAAGAAATAATTGGCTGCTTAAACTTTAAGTTTGGTTCCGGGATCGGAACACACGATTGGGAGAAAATAACCTTTTGGACATAACATTGATAGCGGAGTCTTTTTTTGGATGGACGCTATGAAAGTAAGATTGATTTGGACACTAAAACTAGAAAGATGACTGGTGGAAGCGGTGATCGTTAACGGTGGACTGGAGGTTTACCTTTGCTTACTTTTCCTTGTTGGATCCTAGATTGAGATTTTGGAGGGACTTAAAAAGAAAAAAGATTTCCCTAAGAAAATGGATGCAGGCTGGAGAGTGACACAGTGAATCTAAAGAAGACAGAGACACCATATCGCGAAAGAGACACCTACTGGTAACAGGGAGATGAAAAAAAAAGGGACTGGACAGAAGATACACAATGACTCTTTGCAACAAAGTTAAAGAGAGAGCGGCTGTTAGAGTACTGGATCTTTTTTTTCCCTCTTTCTCTTTGTTACAGTGTGAAGACATCTTAGGAAAGGACTCAGAGTGATAAATCTTATTGGTGGCTTCCTTAATAATCATATATTTGAAATTGAATTCTTTAGTTATCCTTTTCTCTCTCTGTCCCCACTCCCTTCCCTTTCCTTCTTCCCTTCCCTGTTTTTGTTTTCTTTTTTTTCTTTTTTTTCTTTGATGACAATATACTGATATACCTAAAAAAAAATGTTAAGCGGTTTAAGAGATTTGAAAAACTGATACACTTAAATATTTGTTAATGGACTTTCCAATATGGGTTTAATATTATTACAAAGTATTATTGTTATAAAGTATATATTATATAGAAATTTTGAAAGTACTTAATAAATTTATAATCCTGATTAAGATATTATAGTATTACTGTTAATATTAACGTATTATAGATTTAAAGGAAACTAAATAGAGAGATCTGATAATTTAAAGTTACTGTAGATTATTATAGAAATTGATTACTGGAGGATGATAACAGGAGAATTATAGTGATACTGTGCTATTAAGAGGAAAGAAATAAGAGGGAGAGAGGGAGGGTGAAGTGTGGGGGAGGTGGAGGGATTGGGGAAGAGGGAAAAAAAGTAGGAGTGATGGATTAAAAATAATACAGTGACAAGATTGTTTAATATGTCAAGCACCTCAAACGTATCTAGGATTGGTACAGTTAGGAAAATACCCACACAAGCGATGACTACAACAGCTACGGCAAGCCCTTCCACACAGAGGGCTATTGATGAAATGCTTCCAAAAGAAAGATCAAACACTATAAAAGACCTACAAAGTTTAATGATGAATATGCAAGAGATGATGCTTAAAAATCATGAGGATATGACAAATGAGATAGGGGTGGTGAGATCAGAATTAAAGGAAAAGATACAAAAGATAGATGAAAAATTTGAAGCTTTTCAACAAGAGGTTAGGAAAAATCAAGAAAAAATGTAGAAATTGAGACAAAGATGGGTAAAGAAGAAAAAAGGGTAGATGACTTAACGGATAAACTAGAAAAAACTAACAAGGAATTAGAGACAAAGGTCATCTTTTTGGAAGTAGAAAAGGCAGCCCATTACCTAAGATTTCAAAATGTGAAGGAAGAAAAAGGAGAAAATTTATTAGAAGTGATGGCTCACATACTGGCAAAGATATTAGGGACAGATAAGGAGGAGATATTCACAGAGACAGACAAACTCTATAGCATTCAAACAAATTATGCAAGGAAGTTTAACCTCCCAAGAAAAGTCCATATCAGATTAGTCAAAAAATCCATGCGAGACAAAATTTTACATAAGACAAGAGATGAACCACTTGAATATGTGGGTAAACAACTGTCTTAAAGCAAATTCCAAAGAGGGTAAGAGATCTAAGCAGGCCATACCATTTTCTAACATCAAAATTAATAAAATATAATGTAAATTTTAGATGGGTAACATGGCAGGAAAAGAGATTTAGGCTGGATACCCTTGAAAAAGCGGAAGACTTTGATCAACATCTCATTAGGGCTACTATTCTCAAAAGTCATAGTTGAGTATCTAAATATTATGGGAATTTTAGTAGAATAAACAATATCCTTGGGGAAGGATAGTAGTTTGTAGCATACCTGTTAAAGTTCTTATATTCAAATATTTGTACAAGATATAAACCGAAAAGATACAAATGCTACAACAATGTGTATCTGTTGAGAACTGAAATTATGGACAATAGTGAACAAATAGAACTATAATTTATCTTCCTATAATCTTTGTTTACTTTTAACTATTTACTACAGCTCTTAATTCTCTCTGAACAGAACTTCTCTTTGGAATGGTGTAAGCAACCAGATGTGGGGCTTCCAAAGCCAGATTTGATACTTTTTCTTCAATTGAGCACATCGGAAGCAGCCAAACGGGGAGAATTTGGAAACGAACGCTACGAGAATACGTCTTTTCAGGAGAAAGTTCTACAGTGCTTTTACCATTTGATAAAAGATAAATCTTTAAACTGGAAGGTAAGAAATTAAATATTAAAAAAATAGAATTAGCTGGTAATACTTGCAGTTAACTCTATTGTTTGTTTTAACTTTATGACCATAAGATGGAATGAATCATTTATCTCTAGCTGAAAAGCTGAATTTAGGGCATTCATTCAATGACACCTTTTTCTTCATTGACTAATAAATGTTTCATTCATTCATGTATGTTTTGTTTTTCTAATATAGTTGATTGATGCTTCAAAGAGTATAGAAGATTTGCACAAAGAAATTAAATCCTTTGCAGAAGAGGCTATGCAAGAAGCTCAGCACAAGCCTGTCGGAGAACTGTGGAAATGAAATTTACTTAACTTCTAAAAGACAGGGCTTATATAATCACATTCTGAACTATTTGCATTCACATATTTGGTGAACCAGTGTTTCTGTATCTATATTTGAGAGGCCATGCAGGTTTCATTTGCTAATCTTTACTATTTATTAGTTCCATTCCTCTACAGACTGGAGTTTTAGAAGAGTGAAGCTTCTCCTTTCGTTAGAAAGCAATTTTGCTGGGACTCACATCTGGAAAAAAAATGCATGAATAGAGTAATATCTTCTATATTCCTTGTAGATAAGACTCGATATGTTCAATACTATAGTTTTTCTATAAAGATATAGAATAAAATCGTGTGTATGAGTGCATTAACTTTTTCTCATTATAGTAAGGTTTTAATGTGTGTGTAATATTCCATTTATAATATGTAGAGTAAGTAAATCAATAAAATATTTCCTGCATGTTTGGCTAATGACATTTAATAACTTGAGGTATCAACAATATGAATGGGTGTGGGTGTGTGGGGGGGTGTAGATTCTAAAGGAAGTTTGATGCCACTGATGTAACAGCTTAAAATAGTGTCTGTATGTATAGAGGCTGCTAATAATTCTCCAAACTGACAAAGACTGTCTCAAGCATTGTATGAAGACAACCAGGTTAGTCTTTGGAAGACAAAAATCTGGTAGCATCATTTTAAATTAACATTTTATTCTATTGTATATTGAATTAGAGCAAAATAATAAACTTACTTTATCCCAAATGATAAAACTTTTGTCAGGAATATCTATTGGAAGAGTTTGAAATAGATCAATTTTGGGAATAATATCTTAATTGCTGATATATGGCCTAAAATAATTTATGTTCCACCTTTTTATATTCTTATTTTATTCCAAGCAAAGCCATAATTATTATTGAACAACTTATTTAAAATTTTTAATATGTTAATTCTTATATTTGTGTTTTCTTACATTTTCTGTGATTGATTTTATATTCAAATGGAATTTCTAAAATGGATATAATTTTTCCTTACGTGAATATGAGTGCGATACTATTATAGTTTTAAAATTGTTAGATTTAAGTAAATGCTTGGTTTTTTTTATTAAACAGGCAGGAATATGTTGCATTACAGAGGATTATAATAATTAGCGATTAGTTTCAATAATTTCCCCCTCTATTTTAATTCCTTGAATTTTATTATTCACACATAATGCAACCAAACAGATGCTGAATATAGATTGAAGCAATAGTAATTTGTAAATTATCTAACTCTTTAATAAACACAAATCCCCCCCAAAATTATCTTTAAAACTGCCCTATAAGCTTCTTGTGGCATAACGGTTGAAGTGAGATAACCTAATTAGAGGTAGTCCTCGAGTTACACTCACAATTGAGCCCAAAATTTATGTTGCTAAGTGAAACAACAGTAAAGTGAGTTTTGTCCCATTTTACAACCTTGCCAGTTGTTAAGAGAATCACTAGTTAAGTTAGTAACATGATTGTCAAATGAATCTGGCTTCCCCATTGGCTTTGCTTGTCAAAGTCGCAAAAGGTGATCACATGATCTTGACACAGCAATAGTCATAAATATGAACCAGTTGACAATCGTCAGAATTTTGATCATAGGGATGCTACAAAGGTCATAACTAAAATATGGTCATGTCACTTTTTCAGTGCTGTTCTAACTTTGAAGGTCATTAAATGAACTACTGTAAGTTGAGGACTACCTGTCCTTGATTTGTTGAATATTGCAGGCTTGGAATGTTGAACTCTGCACTTCAATCTAATGTACTTCTGTGAAAAAATCATTACATCTTATTACTGTGTAATCCATCACATCGTTCACTTTTTTGCTAATACCTCATACAGAGCTTGCTTCATTTGTTACAAACTTCAAAATTTCCTATTTTATTTACTTGCTCTTATTTTAACCTCAGTGTTATTCTGCTGAATCTACTGTACATTACGGGCATTTTAGCACTTAAGTTATAAGCTTCACTTGGTGAGTAATATCTAATATTTGCCAATTCTCTCAAGACATATCTATTAAATCTTTTATTAAAATAAAGGACTTCTCCCATTCCAATTTCAAGCCACATTTGAATTTTTGAAAACAAATGATTGAATTCTTTTGAATAACAAGATGATTTAAGAGTTTGGTTTGCATTTGTTTCATTGCCCTTTTTTTGGAAGAGGATAGCTGATTCCTTGTTTTAGCTCTTTTATGTTGTTTTAATCCTTTTAAATTTTTTGCAAAGCATCTCCAGGAAGTTTTGTATTTGGTGTTCATTTAATTAGTAATAGTTAAAAACTTGAGTTAGAAGAGCAAGAGTTTCAGCATATTTTCTTCACTGGAGGCTAAACTTCCCCAAGTCCTATAGAATTCTTAGGTAATTAGGATTTGATATTAATTTTTGTGAGTGTGTTCCTCCATTGTCTGCGTTGAAAAGTCCTCAGAGTGATTTGGTTATAGTAACAAATCTGCACTGACACATGGAAGGAGCTGCCTTATTTTCCTTCCTCTTGTTGGTACTTTTTTAATGAGTTATATGTGATTTATATTTAATGTGTTTAAATTATGTATTCAAATTTTAAATTGTGTGTGTAGTTTTTAGTGCTGTGTTCTTCAAATTCAATTATTTGTCCACCTACATTTAAAGAGAGGCTTTAAAAGCTTGTATAATTTAACTTGTGTTCTTTTAAAGCTGTATGTGTCAATCATATTTTCAACTGTATATACTGGTACTGTTACATCTGCACAAAGTTTAATGAGGATGCCTAAGCACTTATATCCTAGATTGGGAGAAGTTGTATTGGAATATTCAGAATATGTATCATTTTTTAAATACACAATAGATTTTTTATTAAAAGAAGCTCTATGATTCTCTTATGTTTATCTTAGTTTCAATCAGTGGTGCAGAAAAATGTACCAGGAATACAAAAGCCTTTTTAAACTTGTTTTATTCAGATACAAATTGAAAGCAGTGGATGAATGAAACACAATCCGACTATGCTCTTCTTCCAAAAGAAGAAGCACAGCAAGCTATAACAATGACAAATAAGCATCATGGTTCAAATTTGATTTCTAGTAGCTAAATAGGCAACTGGACCTACTATATGCAGTTACTTTATAGATGGCTATAGTACCATCTGTAATTTGACAGTTCTGCTTATAAATGCAGGCAAGAATGCTTTGTAAACGTATTTGCTACTGCAACATCCATTGATTGAGCTAATGCTTGGAACTGATGGGGTTTTTCCCAGCCATTCCTACCTTTTAGAAACAGGAGCTCTTCTGCTATTTTGGAATATAATTGGCTGGAAATCCTGGCCAGAAAGCTAATCATTTAAGGGATGCAGAATTTGCTTTAAGTTTCTTTAGAATTTCATGTTAAGAACTGAAATAAATGAAAAACAAAGACATACAATATAAATAGTCTGTAGTATTTTCAAAAAGGGGGAGATGAGAACACACCTTTGGCCTAAAATCATTATTTTAAAAGAGTTGTTAATGCAAGATTTGTGTCCATGTACAGTCTAAACTTTATTAAAAGGAGGAATCAGTACCTTTAATTTGTGAGCTAATGGATGTTTTCACCTCATTTTATTAAATAGCAGCCATATTTTTAATACAAAATAGAAAAATGTCCAAACAAGAATTAGGTATAATGAAGCAAAATCTGAATAACACCATTCTGTTTGTGCAACTATGAGAAGAATCAAGTCAGTAACTGTGAGGGCCTTTCATATTATTATATAGTGATGTTCTCTTGTTATCTTTGGAACATATTTTAACCTGTTCCATATGATATGCTATTGTGATTGCTAGAATGCAGACCATTATATTTTAAAAAATAAATTGCAACTTTGAAACCAAAACTATGGAAGCACTGTATTGGAGAAAATCTAAAGTACAAGTTGAAACATTTGGTGCAGTTAATCTTGAGGCCTTGTGGCCCCAAATAATTCAGAATATGGCCAGCTGGTTTGGGAGACATAATGCAGATACTTGTCTCACACCTGTTGTGCTGGTTTTCATTTCACACTGTAAAAATGGGAACAGAAGTAATAAGACTCCCTAATAATAGAGAGACTTAAGCTAAACACTGAAGGGCTTTTACTATTAGAGGTCAAGCCTTTGTGCCTGTTCCTATGAAAATAATTTCCAGCTCCTAGGAAACTTTGCATCCTGTTCTTGCACTGAGAAAGTAACTAAAGCTATTAAGGCCTTAATGATGACCCGTTTTCTTGATCCCACTGCAAAAATCCACTCTGCTCCAAGGTTGCACAGAATGCTGGGGTAAATGGGAGGCAAGGATGTCAACAAGCACCTATGAAAGCTGGTATCCCTACGCTCTCCAAGGAGCTCCCCTCCCCCCTCAACCCAAATTGGCAGTTATTGTAGTTTCTCTTGTTAGAGTGATAAGATTTCAAAATCTTCATCCTCTGAATCAAAGAATCTTTCCAATCTGTCTGCATCAGAAGAATCTATAAGACACGAACAATTTACATGCTTCAGTTACACTGTCCCCACAACACATTTAATCATAATTAAATATAAACTATGTGAAACATCAGCTGTGATTTGCAAGAATCTGAATAATAAAAACACTAGGTAATGCCAGACAGTTGAACTATTTTTAGCAAATGCTCACAGTTTACAGTAGCTCACTTTGCATCAGGCACAGTACATGGGTAGCTTGGTCTTATCTATTTTCAGAAGTTTTACAGGGATGAAAAAACTAAAATAGTACTGTACCACAAAAATCCTGCAAGAGCAGCTCTGCTTTGCAGGATTTAGAAGTAATTGTTTTGTAAATCACTGCATTTTATGAAACAATAACAATGTAGTGAATAAAGAAGATGACTCCTAGCATGGACAACCCCTCACCAAATTTGAGTCCAAGTGAAAAAAAATGTTTTGAGAAAATGCCTCAGACAGCCACCCTCTCCAGTTTTTATGAAGGTAAAAGGTAGGGAAGATCTCTTAAACCTACAGGATTCTGTTACTATAGCTATTCTGATAACAATAACTTTAGATCTGCACAATCTGTTTCATAGTCTGGTCTATCTAATACAGCTGACATAATATTATATAGAACTGTATCTAAAAATCCAAAAACAATGATTTTTAAAGATCAAATATCAATTTTGAAAACTGGTACTATTTCTTAGGCAATGAACAAACAAATGGTATCATAATTTATCTGGAATAAAAAATATCTCCAAATATTAAAACTCCTTTATTCATTCCTTCTACAACCAAATATATGAACATTACCTGGAGTGAGATTCAAAACATCGGGACTAGAGAAGTGTGAAGGCTGATGTTCTATTAGCTCAAACATGGGAAGGGCTCCTCTAATCAGTGACAACTGTTAGAAATATATTAAAAACAATTATACTCCTTTGCTATTTCTAGAGGTGTCGAGTATTTGATGCATAATACACCTTCAGTTCACAGTTTCATTTACAAAACAAATTTCCAGTCTTTATGATTGTAAATACTTGCTTAAAATGTGTGAATGCACAGCATATTGCAATACTAAAAATATTCTGAAAAGTATAGCGGTTTTACATATTTGGTATAATTCTCTTCAGTTTCCTACAATAAAAAGAACAAAATAATAAAAGCTCAGGAAAACTAATTGGGAATAGAATATACACAAGCACTTAAGGAACACAAATTAATGCAGCCAGCAAAACAGTAGCTTTCAAGTGAGATTTTAACCCAAGAAAGGGCAAATTTATATAGTTTGATTTCACTGTTTTTCATTACATTAATCTATCCTTGTATGTTAGCTTGTACAAATTTGAATATATATTTTTGTGTGCATTTTTCCCTAACACGCAGAGTTGCAAATGTCATTTTCTTTAAATGTGCACTGTTGTATTGCAAATTGTCTGTAAAATAAGGATTAGTGCAGATGCTGGAAAACCAGGAATTTTGCTTTTTATATATATTTGTTAAATGTATGCTTATTTATATTAATCATATTTATATCCACTATCTCACCAAGGGTGACTTACTGGATAAGTTTAATTTTTTTAACCTTTCCTCCATTTATGTAATGTACAATTAGGTTCCCCTTCCTTTTTTCCACCATTGATTCAATATACAAAAGTAGGGAAGTTGTTACTGTCACAAATCAAGTCTGTATGCCTTTTGAAGAAATTAGATCATTTAGACTTTGCTGCTGTATAATATTTTCTTGTTCCATCCTCTTTAAATACCAAAGAAAGTCAGCTTCTTGAAAGCACGAGGAGTGCTAGAAGTGCTACAACTAGCTAGTACTCAAAGACCTTCTAGAGATTAAAAGCTAGCAATCAGTATTGTTACTGTCTAAACAATTTCATATTTCATTGTTGAACTTTCTATCCAATTGTTTTCTAAAATCTATTTTGCACTAAAAATAACTGGCATGGAAATACTGCTTCTAGCACACTATCATTACATTAAACCTTTAA